AAATTCTCGAAAACAAGATTTTTTTTTTATAAAGTCGATTTATTTATTAATTTTTTTTTGGTTGTTTCCTTGCACGTGAATTATTTATTATCGATTCGTTATTAATTTTTTTTTCTTGGGGGGCGAGGAGGAGAGGCAGAGGGAGGAAAGAAATAGTTTTGAAGGTTTTTTTCTTTTATTTCCTCTCCCAAAGTCGGTTGTGCGAATTTTTTTTTTTTTTTTCAATGAATGAGTTTTTGTGACTCATGATAAGTTTCTCTCTCTCTTTCTCTTTCCCCCCTTTATTTACTTCTGACACGTTTTTTTTTTTTTAACTTGATGTGATTTTTGAGTTTGGGAATGTTTTCCTGTCGACAGAATAGATTCGTCGTCGAATTAGATTTAGATTAGATTTAATTCGTGAAGAATTGCGTTGAAGTTTTTCGATTAGACAGGGTTACGCCCTCTTTTTTTTGTCCTGGCGTTAGAAATGAAACCCTCCACCATACCTGATGATGATGATGATGAAATCATTTAAATAACGCTCGAAACACAACAACACACTGAAACAATTGTTTCGTATAATGGAATCTTTAAAAAAAAAAAAAATCTCGCTTGTTTATTTCCTGGTGTGTGTGTGTTTAAAGTTTAATATGATGACGTGGGGGGGCTCCAGTCTGGTGGAGAGCATTGGGTCACAAAAACATAGACTAATAAATTTATTTTTTATTTTTGGCACGATCGGTTTATAATCTCATTAACATGAATAGATTTAAAAAGAAAGAAAGAAAGAAAGAAAGAATGAAGGAAGGAAGGAATGTTTGCGTGCGTGTGCACTCCCGCACACACACACACGCACGTTTGGTGAACTCCATGCATATTATATCATTCGAGAATCATGTCGAAGTCGGATGAAAAAAATTTTTCTTTTTTTTTTTTTTTTTAGGTGCCAGACTCGTAAAAAGTTAATTAAAGGTTAGAAGTTATTAACTATGCTGGTTAGTCGGAAAGAATGCAACGCTCTCGATGTTTTTTTTTTTTTTTTCAAATATGATTTCGTAAAGTTTACATTCGTTTGAGTGTGTGTGCGTGTGTGTGTGTGTGTCTGATGGAAGTAGAAGTAAGAGAGAGTGAGAGAGAGGGTGGTCATGGAGAAGTAAACGCGACGACTGGAAACGCGTTAAAAATCGCGCCTAAAGTCCAAAAGTAAAATCAATATAATTTTCATTTTTATTTTATTTTTTTTCTCTTTCTCTTCGTGTCCTCCTCTTCCTCCTCCTTCACCTTCTTCTCCATTTCCATGTTTAACCATCGTGGTCTACTAATATTTCCAGGCAATAAAAACGAGGGCTGGATTTCACAGGTAAATTTTTTTTTTCATTCATTTACAAAAAAAAAGACGTACAGTGTTTAACTTATGTGGGGGTCCGTTAAAAGATTCTGGTTCACGTTGAAGTCTTGGAATGCTTTGAATCTGCCGATTTCCTTTCAAATTTACATTTTTTTTATTTTAAGTACGATGATAGAGGGTCTCTCTCTCTCTCTCTCGTTTGTGGTGGAATGATTTTTCTGTTTGATACCGACTTTTTCATTTTATTTTCATAAGTTGTTAATCACTCGAGGCCTTTTTTTTATGTAAAGAGATAGAAAAAGAAGAAATTCTCTTTCTAAGGTTGTCGTGTTGTGTTGAAAGGATGAAGAAAGGAAGATATGGGAAACGGATGGATTTTCCTTTTTTCCTTTTCCTTCTCTCTCTCTCTCTCTCTTTCTCTCTCTTAAACTCTCTCTTTCCAGTGTTGCGAGTGACGAAAAAAAAAACAAGGTTTTGTACACATGTAGCAACAGCACAATGAAACAAAAACATCTTAATAATAATAATAAACTCCTGTTAAATCTCCGGGACTTGTTTTATTTTAAACAATATTATTTAAATGTTTTTTAATGGTTTACTTCTTTTCGTCGCATTACCTGTTGATTCATGTTTTTTTTTTTTTTATGTGTTAAAAAAACATAAGTTGGCCAGTCACCTTTAAATTAAAATTATTAAATGTTTTTTTTTTTTTTCATGCGGTTGCTTTCATTCGAATGAGATAATCTTGTAAAAAAAAATGGTGAGAAGTTTTTTAAACAAATAGTTAAAGATCGTTAAAAAAAACTATTTATTACCTGGTCAACTAGAAAAAATGTTTAAAATTTCGTCAGTTTTTTTTTTTTACTGCTGGAATTTTTTTTTGTTTCCCCCTTCCTTCCCCCTTCCCTCTTCTCGTGTTTTCGAACCGAAAACGAGTTTCAGGTTTGAAAAAAAAAACGAACAAGAAAAAATTATTTTTAATGGCGGCGGAAATTAAATTTTTCTATAAAGTCTTATTTATTTTTTGATGATGATTTTTCGATGATGATGTTAAATAGAAATTTAACTTCCGGTTGATGATTTGGAAGGTGGAGATCTGGAGGTCGAGGAAATGGTAGAAAAAAGGTATGTGTAGGAACAAAGGAGCATCATCACGTCGTAAAAACATTTTGTTGATAAATGAAAAAAAAAATTGTGCATGCGTGCGTGCGAAACGTACCTGATTTACCGAAAAATGACTGGGTAGTAGTACCACTTCTGGTACCGTTTGTATTGAATTACCACCAGTACCACGTACCAAGTCAAGATTCTACTTCTTAGTTCGTGATTTTACAAAAGTCTATCATTTAATATTATCAGTATATAAGTATACCTGAAGAAATTCAATTTCATCGTGTGCTTTGTGGTCTCTTTACCTTTCCATCTCTCTCTCTCTCTCTCTCCTGTTATTATCATTATTTTTTTTTTATCGGATTGTTTGATAAATACACAACACGCAATCAAAGAAAGGGAGGGGAGAGGAACTTTTAAAGGAAGCTTGCGAGATGAATGGCGCTCATACGTATTGATTATTTAACCATCACCTTTGAGTTAAGAGAAACGATTTATGGGAAATAAAATCTCCCTCTCTCTCTTTCTCTCTCTCTCTCTCTTTTTCTTTTTCTCTCGTCTGAATTGATGTGTGGCGGAATGAGTGTATATACATAAACTCCGGTCGTTTTTCTCATTTAAGTTAATATTATTATTATTACCACCTCTTGTTTCTCTCCTCTCCCGATTCTCTCGGGCCCCCCTTTTTTCCCCTCTCTCTCTTTCTCGGTCTTTTTTTTTTTTGTTTAATATTTCTTTTACCCTTCCCTTTTACCCGCTTCTTTTATTCTTTTTTTTATTTATTTCCCCCTTTCCGATAACCGCCGCCCTCGTTAAGAATTTTCTTGTTAAAATTCTTGTCCGGCAACAAAATTCATCTTCTTAATTATTCTTCGCCTCCTCGTTATAAACTCAAAACATTAAAAACAAAAAAAATTTTTTTTTTAAAACTCAGGTCGGTCGGTCGGTCGGTCCACCGACCACCGGTTAGTTTTGAGTCACGTTTATTATTATTATTATTATTATTATTTTCAAATGCGTCGTATATTTACATATCATTCATATGGTGGTTTGTCTTTAAAAAAGAAGTAAGATAAAGTCAGACGACAGCATCCCTCTCTCTCTGGATCTTCTTTTTTTCCATTCTTTTAAACGTTTGCTTGTCACAAAATGTGTTTGTGCGCGTAAGAGAAAGAAAAATTTTTTGGCTTAGCGGTCGGTCGGCAAGTTTAGGTTTTCAGGTATTGAAATAATTTTAGTTACCAAAAAATTGTATTCGAAACTTCTTATTCTCTCACATCCATCGTCAAGGTTTTCCTTCTTTTTTTTTTCGTATTTTTGAATACAGGTATTATCCATCTAAGGTACGGAACGACGCCACGAAAATCATTTCATTGAGAAATCTTCTGCCACGTTGTTTATTTTGCATTCATTAAAGGCACGAGGAAATAATAGGGGGAAGGATCGTTTTTCTGTCGACGCCATTTTGCAATTAATTTTTTGTTTTTTGGCTTTCGTATTCCGGTCGTTTTTTCGAACCTGGCAAGGTTTGAAATCGAATTTGGCATTGATTGCTGATCGGTTGCCGAATTTTTAGAAGAGTTTTCCTTCGCCAATGCAAATAATTTTATTATTATTATTATTAATTTTTTTGGCATTTTTTTTTATTAATATTTTTGCGAGTTTGCCGGGTTATTAATTTATTATCGAGTTTTCCCCCCATTCCCTCCCCGAAATAAATGTTTCTAATTGCAATTTGACGACGACCTGTTTTTCAGGTATATTATTATTATTATTATTAATTCCGGTTGGCATTTCAAATTGGAATGTCAATCGATTTATAGTGTTGTCTAAATTTCACATGCCACAGATATTTATGATTAATTATAAAGAATTTAAACGGTGGTTTGTTGTTTTTATTATTATTATTATCATTGTCGTTTGTTTATTTATTTATTTTTTTATGTTTGCAAACTTCCATCCCACGAGTTTAATAATAATAATAATAATAATAATCGATTTGTGGAATAATTTGGAAAAATGATTAAATCATCCAATATTATTTTACAAAGTTTAAATTAATCGTGCGTGAATGAATTGAACGACCGCAAAATTTTTAAAATTAATTTTTTTTTTTTGCTTTTGTTTCCAGTTTTTAAATTTCAATTCGATCAGTTTTTGCTACTACTCACCGATGAAAAAAATGATATAAAAGTTTTTACGGTCGACGTCAAGATCATAGCCATCGCCATCGCCTTCGCCATCGCAAATTGTAATCGATAGGTGGGAGCAAGCAATCGATCGATCGATCCATCAATCAATCAATCAGACAAATAAATAAATCAATGAAATCAATCGAGTTCATCATGAATGAGCTTAGAAATAGAAAAATTACGATTAGCAAGCGGTGAGAATTACTATAAAGTAGGATAAATAATAGAAAATAAATCATATTTTTCGAATCGTCGCGTAGTGTGTGTGTGAAAGAGAGAGAGGGAGGAAGACAGCGTGAAAAAAAGAGAGAAAGAGAAGAAAGAAAAGAAAAGGCGGATAAGAAGAAGATACAATAAAGAAGAAGACCATGACGGGATCTGCAAATTTCGAATCATGCGTGGAGTTAACGAAACAAGCCCACAATTACGAAGATTTGGCCCTAATTGGAAACGGTAAGGAAAATAAATATTATTATTATTATTATCATCATCATTATTATCGTTATCAGTTTTTTACAAAAAAAAAAAAAATTATTTATTTATTACGAAGGTGATTGTTAAAAAAGGAAAGGAGTCAATGGAAAGTTGAAAATTGTTGTGAAATTGATTTTTTTTTTTGAGGGGGGTGGGAATGTAATTCGCGAATTTTTTTTCTACTTTTCTCTCTTCCTCTCTTTCTCTCTCCCTCCCTTTCTTTCTTTTCAAAGAATAAATCAATCATTGAATTTATTTTTCCAGAATAAATAAATATAAAAAAAAAAAAACAGAGATTCGTAATTTTTAGTTTTTTTTTTTTGTTCTGTGCTTGCTGCCTTCACGTTTAAATGTAATGCTTCCATTTTGACAGGTTAATTCCTTATTATCATTATTATTAATAATACTAAAATGTCCAATTTTTTTTTTTTGCTGGAATAATTCCAGTAACTGTATATACAACAATGTCTTGTCGGGTTCCCAGGTATATATTAGAGATAAACGATTTTCTCTCTCTCGTTTAGAAATAGCTTTCCCCCTCTCTCTATCTTCTCTACTTTTCCAGTCTCCAGTTTTTCCAAATTTCTTTTTGGAATTGTTTAACGTTGTTGTCCCTTCCCTCCCCCTCCCATTTTTTATAACACGTTTACGTAATTTGTGAAAAAAAAAACCGAAAGACGGAGTTTTAAGAAAAGTTTTCCTAAACGTATTCCGATGACGATCATTCGATAATCGATTATCGAATAAGAATCGATTCCACGGATTCGATTCTCGATTCGATCGATTCCGAATTTTACGATTACGAATTTTCTTAATTAAAATTTTTTTAAAAATTTTTTCACTTTCCTTTTTCGTTTTTTTTCTTCTTCCACGAAGGAATAAAAAAAGTGGTTTATTTATTCGAGTTTGCCACCAATTATTATTATTATTGTTAATTTTTTTTTATTTTCTTCTGGTACGCCACGAGAGAGAGAGAGAAAGAAAAATCTCATGGCGAATGCTACTGGGAGGTATAGGGAGGAAGAAGCTAAAAAAAAATTTTAATTAAAAAAAACAAACCCACGCATTTAAAGAACGAATGGAATTCAAAATTGATGCGTTTATATATCTAAATAATTTTTTTTTTTTTAACGGTTGGACTCCTTGACTTTTACTTTAAATTTTTTTTTTTTATCAAAGTTTGATTAATCACCTCCGTTGGGAGAAAGAAAATTTTTTTTCTAACTCGTTGTTTCTTTTCTTATTAATTTATTATTATTATTTTTTTTTTATAGGAGCGTACGGAACCGTTTACAAAGCGAAAAACAAAACAAACGGTCACATAGTTGCGATGAAAAAAATTCGAGTTCACTTATGCGAAGATGGTGGACTTCCGCCTTCTACACTACGAGAAATAGCCATGTTGAAGCAAGTTGACCAATACGAACATCCAAATATAGTCAGGTAAGGTTTTTTTTTTTTTTTGTTTTGTTTTCCCCCTTTCTCCCCTTCCTCCCTCTCATCAAAATTCACCTGTTTGTTTGTGTTTGTTGTCTGTTTGTTGCGTAACGGTGTCCTAATGTCGGACCTTTATTCCTTCCTTCCTTTTTGTGGTGAAGGGTTCTTTGTTCTTTTTTTAAAAACGTTCGTTCCAGGTCTTCTGTGGATAAAATGTGTGTTGTCAATAAGTTCGATACCTACTCGATTACGTAATAAGTCGCTATATGAATTTGCAAAGAAACAAACAATCACCGGAAACGGTCGATTTCGGTTCCTTTACGCCCGCCGTCATTTTTTTTTTTTTTTTTAACACACAGGAGACGGTGGTTAATGATAAATTGTTGTTGTTGTTTGTTTGTGCGGTTGTTCGAAACCGTTTTTGTGGGTGTGTGTGTGTGCGTTTCGTGTGGATAATAATAATGATGATTTACCATCGTGGTTTTAACATTAAATCTTTTTGCCCATTGTTGCACACGACGACGACGACAATAGTCATGGCCAAAAAAACTAGTATTATTACCAAACGTTTCACGACGTGAGTAATAAATTATTTAAAATGAGGTAATTTTTAATAATAATAATAATAATAATAATAATAATAATAATATCATCCGTTTGGTTTTAAGGAAAAATGGCAGGGTTAACTTGGAATGATACTTAACTATTATTATTATTATTATCGGTATCGATAGCGATGGTGGCAGCGAAATATGGAGCAAAATCGTAATCGATAAGTGTATAAAATTCTCGGCCGTTTTTTTCTATTCCGTACCCGTCAAGGTTTTTCAAATCTCTCTCCCCGTGCAATCAAAGGTGTAGTCCACGTGTGCGATCGTGCGGGCACCCGCACGGCCCCCCACACAAAGCACACGCGCCAACCGATTAAACTTTATCGCGATTTTTTTTTTTTTTCGCTAGCAAAAGCAAATGAAATGAATGCGAATGAGGCTATAGTTATCGTTGGAAAGTCAATCAATAATCAATCGATAATGCCGATCGATCGATCGATATTTTTTTTTTGCTTTAATTAATTTTGGAAAATAATTTGCTAACGGTTTGAATTTTGCTCGTAAAAAAAAAAAAAATATGTTTTGATGTATGTAATAAAACGAAAAGGAAAAATCAGGTTTGACTCATGCCACACACACGAAATTCAATTTAAAAAAAAGTAGATGATGGAGTGAGAGAGAGAGGGGGTGAGAGGGAGAGGGAGAGGAATGTGTCGTGGAAGGAAGAAAGAATTAAAATTCTACGACGCACAAAAAAAAAAAATTTTTTGAACGATAAAAAAAAAAATTGCGAGATACGTGAAAAAATTTGAATTTTTTTTTGTGGGGGGAGGGAGGGGATAAATGAATGATTTATAAAATGTGGAATATCAGAAATGAATTTTATCAATATTTTACTTTTTGGAATGATAATAATAATGATGGAGGCGAGGGATCTCGGAAGCAAGTAGATTGAAATCGATCAAAAATTGTTCAATCGATCAAATTTTCAGTCACGTTTCGTAACAAAAAATAGAGAAAAAAAAATTTCGGACGTGAATCGATTTAAAAAAAAAAAAAAAAACTTCAACGACATATTTTTTTTTTTGATAATTGTAATAAATTTAAAATTTTTTATTCTAAGAAAACTAAAAAGAGAGAGAGAGAGAGAGAGAGAGAGTAAGAGAGAGAAAATAGAATAAATTTCGATGAGTTTCCATTCGTTTCCATGGTCGCTTAAATACATAATGAACGAAATCCATTAACGGCCATTTTTAAAAAGAAAAATGGTATATTCGTTATCGTGCGGAACCGGCGCTTCGATTTATCGATCGATCGATCGACCGGAAACGGAGTTTTTTTTTGTTACGTTTTTAATCTTAACGCTTGTTGCGATAAATTACGTAATCGTCTTCGTAATCTATCCCTTCCTATTTGTGTATTTTCAAAATAACGGATCGTCTTTGTTTATTTTTTATTGTTTGGCGAAGTTGCAAGATTGATTGATTGACTGACTGACTGACTGACTGACTGACTGACTGTCCGTCCGAGAATTGATTTTTCACAATTTACAAAAATTCTGAATATATATTCCAAGAAGTGTATTCTACTTTAACTTTCGAGGAAGAAAAATAATATTTATCCGAATTATTTTCGACTAGTTTTCGAACTTAGTGTTTGTTTGTTGTTTGTAGTTGATTGGTAATAAATAAATCACCATTTTGTGCGGCGTTTTACCCTGAAAAACAAGAAAATCACGAATTCGGTATCGGTAATTGTAAACTACGTTCGAAATTTTTTTTTTTTTGCGAGCGGGTGAAAGAGGTTGAGCCACATTCGATAATTTAAATTGTTTTTCCGGTTTTTTTTTGCGAATAATGATAATAATAATGATAATGTTAATAATAATAATAATAATAATAGTTTTTTATTCCCCACCTTGTTTGCTATATTATAATTTGTGTTATATTATATGGTTGTTGGTTGTTATTATTTATAATTTTCTTTACTTTCATATTTATTGAAAAAAAAAAAATTTTTTTCTCCTTCCTCCCCTCTCTCATTCCTCCTTTTTCTTTTTTTTCTGCCACGTTGATTTGTTTTTTTCTTTTTTCTTTTTCCCTGACTCGAAGGTTTCTTCTTGGAAGGTGACGAAAGGGATGGCGTTTCGTCGAGAAGTTTCTTTTCTTTTCTGATAAACTTATTGTTCAGAATTTGTTTTTGTTGTTATTATCGCCGAAAAAAATAAAGAAAGGAAACGGAGGTTGTTCTTCTTTCACGTTATTGAAGAAGGTTCGGAAAAGAACAGCTTAAAAAGTTATTAAACGATCACGTGTTTAGCTTATATTTAACTGTTTAAAAGTTAAAACAATACCATTATCGGTCGGTATCATTAAGAAATATTAGTTAGTGTTATTATTATTATTATTATTATTATTTTCCATTGTTTTTTTTTTAGAGGGGCATTCCAATAATTGTTGTTGTTGTTGGGTTGATGAAAAACGCCGCAAATCGTTCGCTTATTGAATTTGAAAAATGCGCCGTTTTTTTTTATTATTTTCATTATTAATTTTTTTTTCCTTTTTTTTTTTCTTCTCTCAAAATATTAACTACCTGTGATACTTTTTGTTGTTGTGTTGGTATGCCGCCTTTAAATTATAGAATCCAGATTATATTTTAAACCACGTTCCAAACATTGGGAGCAAATCGAATCGAATCGAATCGATCGACGGTTAACGGAGACATGACACGGATAAGAAATTAAAACAAAAAAATTATTCAACTCTTTTTTCAAACTTTCAAAAATGAAAAATTAAAAAAAAAAATAAATTGAATGCGGAAAGGGAAAACGAGAGAGGGGGGAGAGAAAGAGAGACACTTTGTCGAAAAATAAGGGAAATGGGTTAAGTAGTAAGGGATGGACTTGATGGCGGGTGTTGTTGTCGTGACACGCACGCACACGTGAAAAAAAAAAAGAGGCAGATGTTTGTTCGGAACTCAACGTCTTTTTCGAAAAAGAAAAGAAAAAAAAACGGAAATGGAGGGAAATCGAAAGGCACCAGGTGAGAGACAAAGGTGCCACCACCACCACCACCAGCTGCGATGGTTTCGTTTCTTTTTTTTTTTTTCTTAAAGCAAATCCTCGTTTGTTTCTTCGTCGAAAAGGTAATAGGGAAGAGGTGGTCGTGGTGGTGGTAGGAGAAAAGAGAAACCGTATTAAGGGATGAACGTGTCATTAGCAGATTTTCAAATCATCCATATGCCAATATCCCCCGTAAAAGTTGATTTTCATCATGTCCTTCCTTTTCCTTCCCTCCATCTTAGTTTTTCTTATTCGTCTTTTGTTGATTAAGGTCCAGTGAAAATAATGATCGTGAAACAAAAAAAAAATCTACCACAAAATGGCGGCGGACGTTGAAAACCGTTGAAATCGTATACCGAACGAGTTCCCGTCTTCTCTTCTATTATTTAACAACCCTCTTACTCGTTTGTTTGATTGTTTAATAAATTCTTTTAGATTTTATTATACAATCTTGTGTAATAATAATAATAATAAGTTCTTGTTAGCGTGTTGATGAATGTTTAAACGTGACCGACCGTAAGCAGAAATTTTTTCTTTTTTTTCTCTTTTTTTGTAGGGTTGTTTCAACCGGGTCTTTAGCGTTCTTTATCATTATTATTATTATTTTAAAAATATTCGTTTGTTGGTTGTTTGAGAAAGGTGGTAGTTTGTATACAACCACGAGGAGGATTCAAAAAGTTTTCCCATCGCCATTTTTTTTTAGTTTGATCGATCGATTGTTTTTCGGTTTTCATTTTTATATTTTCCTTCTCTCTCTCTCACTCTCTGGATAATGAATGACAGAGACTAATTTAAAAGAAATAGAAAGACAAAGAACGGATTATAAGGTCTTGTTTTATAGTTGTAAACAGGAAGTGACATATGTAGATTATTACAAAGAGGGGTTACAAATAAATTTTTATTACGTCTCTTTTTTGTGTGTGTGTTAAAATCGAAAAAGGAAACAAACAAACGACAAACGAACAATTTTGTTTTTTGGTTGTTACATAAAAGAATTTATTAATTATTTTTATTATTTTTCTTCTTGTTTTTCAGATTATTAGATGTTTGTTACGGGCCAAGACTGGAAGAGTATTTAGTTTTGTTCATTGTTTTCGAACACATGGAACAAGATTTATCACAATTTATAAGTAATTGTCCGGCGCCAGGGATCGGTGTTAATAGAATTAAGGTGCGGAACGAAAGGATTATTTAGACATTAAAAAAAAAAAAAAAAAAAAAGTAAAAGAAAAAGAAAGAAAGAAAAGAAAAAAAGAAATAAAAGTAAAAGAAAGAAAGAAAAAAAATCTCCGTGAAATCCGTCCTCCTCCTTAGTTAGTTAGTTAGTCAGGTATCAAATTTTTTTTTTTTTTTTTTTTAATTTTCTCTCTCTCTCTCTTTTCAGGATTTAACGTTTCAACTTTTATCGGGAGTCGATTTTCTTCACACGCATAGGATAATACATAGAGATTTAAAACCACAAAATATATTGGTGAGCTGCGACGGACAGTACCTTAAATTGGCCGATTTCGGTTTGGCTAAAGTTTACGAATTCGAATCGAGTTTGACAAGCGTTGTGAGTAGTAATAGTTAATATTATTATTATTATCATTATTATTATTATGTTTTTGTCGTCATCGTGGCTAGTCATCATCATAGCCATCATCTTCATCATCGTTATTCTCTCTCTTTTTTTTTTTTGATTAAATTTTTCTGCAATTACGACCTTGGTTAAAATGTTAATTGAACCATTCAAAGGTTGGCCAATTTTTTTTTTTTTTAACAAGTTGAAAAAAGAGAGAGAGAGAAAAAGTAATAAAAATATTTTGGCAATGAAATGAAGAAAAAAAAAAAAAAACGAACCGGATGTTGTTGTTGTTCATACCTTAAACTCGGGTTCGACCGAAACTCTCAAAGGATCAACATTCTATTAACAACAACTTTTTTTTTTTTTTACGCGAAAAAGAAAAGTTTTTAAACTTTGAGAGTGAGACAGAGAAAGAGAGAGAAAACAAGAAAATTTTTAACCTGAGTTGTGGTTGTTGTTGTCGGACTTGGTCATTTAATTAATCTCGTCATGTTTGTAGATGATTGAATGAAATTTTTATTTTTTATGTTAAGGTTGCCACTTTGTGGTATAGACCGCCGGAAGTACTTCTAAGAGACACATATGCCACGCCTTTGGATGTTTGGTCGTGCGGTTGCATAATGGCCGAACTATACAGGAGAACGCCATTGTTTCCCGGAGTTACTGAGGGTGATCAATTAGGAAAAATATTCGAGTGAGTTTATTTATTTTTTTTTCGATTTATTTCCGGTTGTTCGATTCGAGTTTAATTCGATTCTCGATTAAGTGTTTCCGCGACGACGAATGAGTATCCTTTTTAAATTTATTTTTTAGCATTATCGGAACGCCGAGCGAAAGCGAATGGCCACAAAATACGTCTCTGTTAAGATCGTCTTTTCCGCACAGTCCCGGAATCGATTTGGAAGCCGTGGTACCAGAAATATGCGGGCACGGCAAGGATTTGCTTCAAGTAAGTGAGAAAGGGATGTTGTTGTTGAACTTGATCATCATCATCATCATTATGATTACTTAAAATTTGTTGTTTGTTTTATCTTTAGCGGATGCTGAGGTTCGAACAGCACAAACGTATAACGGCTTGCGAAGCGTTAAATCATCCGTACTTTAAAGATTTCGGTTACGTACCATTAGAAATAGGAACTAGTCTCAACCAAAGCACATCGTCGGCGAGCAACGCATCGACACCCGTTTCAGTTAACAGTTGTAAATGTTGCAGCTGCGACGATTCGAGAACATCAACGGAAAGTCCAGACAAATAAACAACAAAAACAAAAACAAGGAGAAGAAGAAGATGGAAAACGTGTCACGGAACGTAACGTGCACAAAGTAAGGACGGAACGTTCGGTGTGACAACAAACAGAAAAAACGACAGAATCGATCGTCAGATGATATGATGGGTGGTGTGTGGGTCATTCGTCGTCGCCGAAAATTTCATTGGTGCCAAAAAAAGAAAAAAAGAAAAAAAACTCCATTCGAATTTCTTTTTACTACTACTATTACTATTATTATTATTATTATTTATTTATTTATTCGTTCGTTTGTTCGTTCATTCATTCATTCATTTATCCGTTTGTCGTTCGTTCGTTCGTTCGTTCGTTCGTCCGTCCGTTCGATAACTTATACAAAAATACGTTTGAAATGATGATAATAATAATAACTTTTTTTCAGTTCTTTTGGAAAATCTGGTGGGGAGAGAAAGAAAGAAAAAGGAAAAATGAAAAAATTTGGAGGGGAAAAAAAGTGGTGCCCGTTATTTTTAATTTACCTCCCCCTCCCCGAAAAAAAATTTTCAGGTTTTTCCTTTCGACGCTACCTAGCCTTCCCCAAGCCCTCCCGCCCCTTCCCTCGAATGCCACGTGAAATCCACGACGCGATCCCGGTTTTTTTTCTCACGTGAAAAATGCGGATTTCTTCTCCTTCCACGATTAATAAATAAGTTTTTTTTTTTTTTTTTTATTATTAATTATCTTTTTTTGTTTGCGGTTCCCCCCAACTTCCTTTTTCTCTCTCTCTCTCTCTCTCTTTTCTGTTTTCGGGAAACGAATTGTTACGCAATAATAAGAAAATTAAAAAAAAAAAAATTTTCTCTCTGTGATTGTCGTTGCTGTTGTTATTATTATTAACGCGACATTATCGATAACAGATTAATTTAAAAGAAAGAGAGAGAGAGAAACAATATTGCCAACCGTCATCATTTATCATTATTATTACTAATTTAAAAAAAAAAATAAATCAAGAGTTAAATGATAAGAAAAAAATTGATTTGATATTATATTATGTAAAATGAATTTGCAGGTAGTAAGAAAGAAAAAAAAATGGCACAAGGGGGGGCGGCGAAAGGAGAAAGAGAGAGAGGGAGGAAGGGAGAGGAGAGAGGGGGAGAGGAGACGGCAATATTTCCGGGCACCACCACCGCCAACGCTACAAATATTAATTTTTTTTTCATTTTTTCTTATTTATTTATTTATTTAATTATTTTATTTTAATTTATTATGTTAATAAGTAAAGAGTTTATACGCACGTACGCACGTGTATACCTGATAAAAATTTAATTTCATACTAATTTGAATCTCATTCGATTATTAAAAAAAAAAAAAAAAAAATTTTTTTTCTCGCTCCCCCGCCATTTTTGTTTTTTCTCCTCTTTCCCACCCCTCTTCCCATCTCTTTCCCTCCTTTTTTTTCTTAATACGGAAGTTGATGATTTTATTACGGATGCTTACGTCACAATTTTTTCTCCTGTACAGTTTTTTTGTGTGATTTGTTTAAAAAAAAAAAAAAATGAAATGCTAACGGTGGGAAGAGAAAAGTTATTATTATTATTTTTACTGTTTTTTTTAATATTATTATTGTTATTATTATTAATATTTACTGAACGCGGAAAGAAGAACGTAGTAAAAAAAAAAAAATATTTTTGCCATATTTATTATACCTCGATTACCTCTCTGAACATTGCCAAAAAAAAAAAAAAATGTTTTATATTAATAATTATAAGTAATTTAACCGGGATTAAAATGTTAATCATTGATAAATTAGTATAAGTAATAATAATAATGATGATGATAATGATAATTATTAATAACATTGATGATGATGATGATGATTCGTAACTTTGTGCGGTTGAAATTGATTAAACGAAAAACAAAAAATCAATCGTGTGCAAAATAAAAAAAAATTACCGTACCTGTTGACGTCATATTTATTATTATTATTATTATTATTATTATCATTATCATCATTATTAATAATTTTTGTACAAGCGTCAATAAAAATAAAACTTATTGTTTTTTTTTAATAATTTATTTTGTTTAAAAAAAAAGAGAAAAACTTACATACGTGCTCACGTGAATTTTATTATTATTATTATTACTATTAATTATTAATTATCATTATTATTATTATTATTATTATTATTATTAGCAATATTATTTATTTATTATTAACGTATTCAAATATTTTTGTTGTTTTTTTTTTCATATAAAGATAAATTATTATCATTATTGTAAATAATTGCCGTTTAAGTGTTCATTTATTTTTTTATTACCATAGTAAAAATTATTTAATTAAAATTATTATTATTATTATTATTAAACAACGTCACGGTGTTCGCATTAAAATTAATGTTGAAGATAATAATAATATGTTAATAATTTTTTTTTATTGGATTCTTTAATGAGCTGCCATATACATATACATATACATATATTTTATTTAAAATAGATAAATGGATTAATTGAATTAAAATTAATAATTCACGTTTACCTGACCGTCAAAATGCCATTTAATTATTATTATTATTATTATTATTATTATTAATTATTTTTGTGTTTATTTATTATTATTATTATTATTATTATTATTACTGTCATAAATGTTACGTTTTTCCGTTGTTGTTGTTGTTATTGTAGTGTGTTGAAATTGATTTTTTTTTTTTTTTTTTTTGTAAAAAAGTGGAAAATATAATTAATGTTAATTAATTTTTTTTTGACGTGGCACGAGAATAACAAGCAAAAGTGGTAAAATAGTGGTAGGGAGGCGCTGCTGGAGCATGAAATGTCGTCTCGGCTTTTTTTTTTTTTCTTATTCTTAGGAAGTTGAGTCAGGTCACAACTTTATCGAACAACATCTCTTATTATTATTATTATATCAATGTTCGATGTATTGAATGGAAATACATCATCACCATCATCATCATCATCATCATCATCATCATTATTATTATCATCACACATTTTACTTCCATAAAATATTTCTGGAAAATTTGCGATGCTTTTTCGTGTAATTTTTTTTTCCTTTTTATTCCAAAAAAAAAAAAAAAATTAATAATAATAATAACAACAATAGAATGTCTGTCAATTAATAATATTATTATCATCATTATCATCGTGTCCTTTCCCCTCCCTCCACTCAATTTCGATGTCAATTTATTCAATTATTGATTATTTATCATTAGTGTTATATCTGGAAAAAATAATAATTTTTTTTTAAAATTAATTTACGAACTGAATTCGTTGCCATTGTTTAATCATCATTATTCTCATCATCATCTACATCATCATCATCATCATCATTATCATCAACATTATCATCATCATAGTTGCGGATGTTGTTGCATGGATGAACATTATTAAGAAAAATTTTAAACTTTTTTTTTCACGCCCCCTCCCCTCCCCTCCCCTTCACGCCCCAGTAAAGAAGAAAAAGAAAACAAGCGCCATTTTTTTTTTTGTTCAATTTTAATAGTATTCGAATTATTATTAATAATAATAAATAATTTTTTTTTTTTATATTACGTATGATTAAATAAATAAATAAATAGATGGATGGATAAGTAAATAAATAAATAAATGACGTATGTACAAAATTTATGTACGTGTACATAATTTTTTTTTTATTTTTTATTCTTTATGTATTGTTTTCTAATTAGCTCATTTAAATATAAACGTTTTTTTTTTTTTATTATTTAATTAATTTAAATTGTTTGTTTGTTTGTTTGTTTGTTATCCTTATCGATTATTATTATTATTAATAAATAAGTTTAAATTTTGTTGTTGTTTAGTTAGCGCGATTGTTGGTTGTATTAAAAGGAAAGAAATGTTTACAAATCGTTGACTCGATTGTCCGGCGGTGGGGATTTACAACAACCGGACATGGTTAAACCCGTTAGCGCCAAAATTATCGTAAAAACGGAAACGGCACATATGGCACCGCCTAATATGTCCAATATAGGATCTCCGGCCATGGGTTTCATCAATATGAGATATGAAAGTCCGACGCATGTTAAAGTGCTGAATGCCGCGAGTGTAACAAAACCTGGAACGAAATAATAATGATGATAATAATAATAAAAATGGCGGATTTTTTTAAATTGCAATTAATTACCTGTTACGTAATTTCTATTTGGAAGCCATCTCCAACAGTAAGAACGAAATCCTAATAATCCTAAAATAAAATTAATAAAACCGGATAACAAACCAAAATCTAAATAATATCTTCTACCGATCTGGAAAAAAAAACAAATAATAATAATAATAATTATGGAGTTCCAGTGGAGTTTAAAAAAATGGAAAGTTTATTTTAATACCTTAGATAATAGATAAAAACTAATAGCGCAAGTTCCAGTTGCTGTTATCAGATGAATTATTGTTGCAATCATGAAACAAGTACTCGTGAATTTTGGATGATAATAATAATAATCATCATCGGTATTCGACCAAGAACTAAAATCTTCCATAAAACTAAATCTCGATTTATTATTACTATTATTATTATTATTATTAATATTTTTAACTGGAGAAATTTGAACGGGATTATTATCGATTGATGAATATTTTTGTGGAGTTTTTAAATTTTTATCATTGTAATAAATATCGTTTGATTTTCTCACTACGACGCCATTTTCTAACATGAAAGTGTGAGCGAAATTAGGTACGCTTTGATTTCTTTTTATTCTCGTTGTCGGTTGTTGTTGCTGTTGTTGTTGCAGTTGTTGTCTTGAAACATTAAACGATTGATTTTGTTCTCTGTTGATTGTTTTAAATATATTTCCGGTACTTTGAAAAGTTTTCGATATCGTTTGAATGTTTCTCATTGGTGATACATTTTCGGTTTGATTTTTCCTTTGAAAAATCGGCGTTATTATAGCCGTTTTCGATGGATTGATTTCCGTTGTCGTCGTCGTCGTAGGTTTGTACGGACTACCCCTCGTCATTATTCTAGAAATTTCCGGTTGGGATTTTTTCCTCGGTGTTAATGGTTGCGTCGGTGGTGGATCCGTGAAATAATTCGATATATTTCTTCTCGCCGTTTTATTTTGTCTATCGTTAAGAGTTTTATTCTTTCCTTTACCGGAAGTTGATTTTACGTGAAATATTTGCATGACTTTTTTATCGAAGGGTGTGGTGGATTTGTTAGGGGATGATGGACGATGTTGTGATAAATCCCGATATTTTTTCGGAGAATTCGGTGCGGAATGTGATCTTTTATTGTTTTTAGTTTTTTGTAAATGACTCGGTAAAATACATTTGGAAACGATAAAAGGTTCGTGATTGTCGTTAACTGATGATGCACCTATGGGCGGTTGCCTTTTTGGACTCCTCATAAAAAACGTTTGTTGATTTAATAACAAACGTTTTGGAGAATCGAACGAACGCGTCGGTGATAATTCCGACATTTCAAACGAATTTGTTTTTATAGGTATGAAAGTATTATTATTATTATTATTATTATTAAACATTTGTCCCGGTGATGTCGATATAGAATTCGAAGGACTCATAACCGGATGATAATCGTTTTGTTGTCTTCTGCTCGGTGTGACAACCGTCGATGAATAATCGTTTGGACTAACGGCTCGAGGTTTGTAATTTTTTTTATTATAATTTTTAGAAAACGAATAATTATCATCATCATCATCATCATCATTATCATCATCATCGTGAGATTTATTAACTTCTATGGTTTTTTTCAACGTCGGATATCCGTTTTCATCGGGTAATATTTCAGCATATCGATGTATCGATTTTTTTTTATTCGATTGTTTAACTATATTATAATTATCATCATCCGATGGTATTTCTTCGTACCTGTGATACCTTTGTTGATTTTTTCTATACAAACTGAAAATAATAACAAAAAAAAATTAAATTTTTTTTTGTTTGAAACGAACAAAATGGCTGCCGACGAATTCGTCTTCGTTTTATGACTCGTATTTCGAAACGAAAAAAAAAAAAAAAATTGTTTTTGTTATTATTATTACTTACTCAATTTTCTGGTTTCCGTTATCATTATTATTATTATTATTATTTACATTAATAGAATATTGTTGAGGTTCGTTTTTATTCTTTGTTGTTGGCGGTGGTGGTGGTGGCGGTGTTGGTGGTGGATCTAGTGGCATCTGATATCTAAGACTTTTTTTATTTTCTGTTGTTTCATTCCCATGACGGCTATGATGATGCGAATGATTATCATTATCATCATCATCATCATCATCATCGTATTCTAAGGATATATCTTGATAATACGCAGCATTTCCGTCATTATAATAACCTTTTCCATTTTTGTCCACTTGCGATCTTTTCTCGCATATTAAAGTCACTCTTCTATTGTTACACTCTTCAATAATAATGGAACCGTTGCTTTCGTCACTTCCTCCGAATTCATCCGAACCGGAAAATTCTTTTTGATAATTTGGATGTACCAAAGTCGTTTGTTGTGTTTGTTGTATTTGTCGTCTTCGATTTTTATCTTCATTTAAATCCGGCGAATCCGGATCTATTTCAGGTACGTATTGATAATCGTATAATGATGAATCGTATTGATGACAATATGCTGGATTGTTGTAACCGTTTGGAGTACCCATAACGAACACGTCCTGTATAAAATAATAATAATAATGATAATAATAATAATAAGAATTAATAATAGCAATAAATTAAAAAAATTAAAAGGGTTTCCAAGCAAGTTTAAATTGTAATTCTTTTTTTTCCCGCCATTATTGTTATTATTTTTTTGTTCCCCCCTAAGAAAATCATTCATGTATCGGATCAAGGCCCCCCCAAAAAAAAGAAATAGGGTGACCGTGACAAGTTCTTAAAACAAAAGAAAGAGGAAAAAGAAAAAAAAATTAAGTGACGAATATCCGGTTAATTTATAAAAAAAAATTAGTTACACAATGGTGATCACGATTATTTACTTTTTTTTTCTTCTTCTGTTTGTTTTACACACTCGATTGTTTTATTTTTAAAAATTTTTATGTTTTATACAAACGTTTTCAACATAACGCACAAACAAACAAACAAACGATAAATCGAACAAATAATTAATTAATTAATTTTTTTTTTGTAAAACGAAAAACAAAACAAAACAAATTTATTATTATTAATAATATTATATAAACAAACAATTAAAAATTTATTTATTCACAACAAACAACAACAACGAATCGCGACAAACGGAAATAAAAATATAATGATGATGATTAAATTTTTAATTATCGAGAGGGAGAGAAAAAAAAAATTAATAAAAATTTCGTTTGTGTTATTTTTTTAATTCTCCATTTTTTTCAGTCGACCGTTGGTTGTTGGTTGTTTTTTAACTTCTGGAATGAAATTTTAAAATATAAAAAAAGGGGTTCGTCGTCGTTGTTGTCGTCGTTGACGTCATTTTTTTTTTATTTACGATACTAAAACCGTTAAAAATAAACCGGATGAGAGTTAAAAAGTTAACAACAATAAAAAATTTTTCGATTCGAAAATGTTCTTAATATTCTCTTTATTTACATTTTAAATTATTAATAAATAAATAAAATTATTTATTAAAATTTTACTTACATAAATAAACAAATAAATAAATTTTTATAAAATTATTAATAATAATTAAACAAACACTCGCGAACACACTAAAAACATTATTTATTTATTTTAAAAACAAATTTATGGATTTGTAAATTGATTAAAAGTTTATTTAATTAATATTAAAATCAATAACTATACATAATTATACTTTAATAAATAAATAAATAAAATAAAATAATTATTACTCCGTTTGTTATAAGTTATAACGTTAAACTAAATGTTTTATTTTATGCTTTCATATGCTCAATATAAAAATTTTTTACGAGCGAGGAAAGAAAATCAAACGAAGGGAAATTTTTTATTTGTTTGTTGTTTGTTTTATGTTGTTTATGTTATTTTTTTTTTTTTTGTAATGTTTTACATATGTGTGTGAAGAAGTAAACACGTGGTTAAAAACTGGAGAAAACTTTTTAATGTTTTATGTTTTTTAAATAATAATAATAATAATAATTAATAACGATATTAAAACGACGAAAAAAAATATGGCGTGAGTTTTGGAGAAAATTTCCAAAAAAAATTATTTTTAACGTGATTTACGTAAATGTTTTTAGGCTGCGAATGTTTCTGGAGAATATATTATATATTTTTGTTTTGGAAAACTTTATATTTTTTGGAATTATTTGATTCCAGACACAATTAATAGAGAGAGAGAAAGAGAGAGACTACTACAAACGCATAAAATTTTACGTGTGGAAAAATATATCGACTGGAATTATAATATTTAACGGTTTTTTTTTTTTCGGTTTTTATACATTGATAAAATTTTTAAATATCCTGGAGAAAAAATAAAAAATTTCTCCAGGAAAATTAAATAATAAAAAAATGATGATGTATAGTTCATTTTGATTACGTTTTAGTTTTTCAACTCAGGTAAATTTAAATTTCATTCCGCATTGAATTAAACGATTATACGGTAAAAATTAGGGCCGATTCACAATTGAAAAGAGAAAGAGAGAGAGAGAGAGAGAGAGATGAAGCAACAGCAGCTGGCGGTAAAAAAAAAGGGAAAAATAATGTAATTTCACTTGCATTCTGGCTCGTGCCAATAACGGTCGAAAGGCAGATGTCAAAAAAAAAAACCTTTCCTAAGCTAAAAATTCTAACTTTGTTTCCCCCCTCCCCTCTTTTTCCTCCCCTTTTTTTTATATTTTAGTCCTCCGTTTCTATATATACAAATACATCTGCCTTTTCCTTTTCCTATTGTTGTTAGTACTATTAAAGTAAAAAAAAAAAGCGGGAAATTTTAAAAAAAATTATTTAATACGTATCGTGCATTCCGATGCACGTGATAAATGCGTGTTTTGGCCATTTTTTTTTAAATGTAGTGACCAATTTAAATACAAAAAAGACTGGAAAATTATTGTGGAGAAAAACGGGATTCCTTCGGGATCTTTCGATCGAAAACTAAAAAAAAAAAATTTTTTTTAATTTTTTCGCGCCTTGAATAAAACACTCAAAGTTATATACTTGAATGCATTGAAAATTATCTAAACATAAATTTTTAGGCGTTTTTTAAACAAAAAAATTTTTTATTGAAGTAACAATACGTAAGTTAATTAAAGGTTGAAAGGGTCATTTTATAAATTAATAATAGGGTTCCAAATTTCATAGGAAAATGATAGAATAAAAAAAAACATTATATTGCTGTCGCTATGGAAAAATTAAATTTAAAAAAAAGAAATTGGTGTAGGAAAATTGTATCGCATCCATACAAACGAAAACAAATTTGATGGTTGTTGTTGTCGTAACGATAAATGGCGCAAAAACGAAGAAGTTAAGAAAAAGAAATTTTATACGAAAAGGGGAATACGATAACCAAAAAAAAAGAAAAATGCTTATTAATAAAAGTTTCGATTTACGAAATGAAATTTTAAAAAAAATTTTTTTTCTTTTGTTTTCGTCATGTCACATAACCCAACCGTATTTTTTTTTTTTTTTCCCTTCCAAACCCTTTTTCAGAATACAAAAAAAAAAAAAAAAAAAAACAACAGAAATTCAAAGAGTTAACAAAAATAAGGCTCAGTCTTATACACTCTCAGGAAATTCCACACACACACACACACACACACGCACACACGCACACATTTAAAAGAGCAAAAAAAAAAAAAATTTTTTTCCCATCCATAAATGGAAACTCGTTTTTTTTTTTTTTTTTGCAAATCGTGGAAGTTTGGCAAATAATTTAATTTAACACTTTTAGTCGTTGGTTTATTTTTAATTGAGTTACAAGTGAATTTCTTTTTTTTTTTTTTTCATTGTTATCGAATATCGATTTATTTATTTATAATCGATTCGATTATATCATTATTAATCGATAAATAAATAAATAATTAATTTAAAGTAATTAATAATATAAATATAATTTTAATTAATAATAATTTAAAGTGAATCATTAAAATTTTACTGTGCGAAAAAAATAAAAAAAATCGAAAAAATTTTTTTTATGTGCGAAATAATTTTTTTACGCAATTATTAATTTACTAATCGGTGAGTTAATTAATTAATAAGTTTTGTGTATTATTATTATTATCTATTATTAATTATTAAATTTAATTTCGTTTTATTACGCGTAATAAAAAAAAAAAACGTCGATGAAGTGAAATAAAAAAGGAAAGAAAAAAAATTATTCGCGTTATTTTAAAATTATTATTATTATTATTATTATCGTTAATAAAATGAAGAATACGTGCGTGAGTTTATTAATAAGTTATTAAAATTTATTTTTTAGTAAATGCGTAATGAAACGCCATTAATAATAATAATAATTTTTAATTAATAAAATTTTATTTAAAAAGTTTTTTAAAAAAAATTAAAATAAAAAAATTTTTTTGTGAAAATTTAAAATCGCACGACGACGACGACGATCGTCGACGACATTTATGTAGCAATAATAATAATAATAATAATAATAAAATTATCGTGGGAGTCAATGGAAAAAAAAAAACAAAACTTGACGAGAAAATGGAAAGAAAAAAAAGAAAAAATTTAAAAACCAGCTGAGAGTCATTTTCCGTTATTTTCAAGGTCACTCGTCTCTTTTTTAAATATCCTTTATTATTATTATTATTATTATTATTATTATTATCATCATCATCATTATGATTAAGGTTTGGTTTTAATAAAAGAAAAAAAGTTTTCGCTTGAGGTTAAATAACGTTTCGGAAAACGAGTAATTATACCGGAAAATTAATTATTACGTTTACCAAGTACAAAATAAGAAGGATACGCGTACGGTTAAAATCATATATCAATCAAGTTCAAATTATGCGTCTCGATAAATCATTAAAAATTATCCAGTAAATTTTGTGGGATAAAAAAACGGGATAAAAATAAATAATATCGATGAGATGGATTTAAAGGGGGGGAGGGGTGGGTAGAGGGTAATATGCCGCATTTAAATTCACACGCGAATGAATGAATGAATGAATGAATGAATGAATGAATGGAGGAAAATTCCGAGAATTTATTTTTTTTTTTTTTTACGTCGAAAAGATTTTTCACAGTCTGGAACCACTTTGAAAATTTTTTGTTCAGAATATTGATTAATATTCAGAATAAAAAGGATTTCGTTTTAATAATTTTTACGCTTTGATAACAGATAACGAAAAATTATTGACGTAAATGAACAAAAAAAAAATTCGATTCGAATAATAATTAATAACGATACTAATAATAATAAATTTTTTTTTCGTCGCGTTTCCGTTTCCGGTATCGATGCGTTCGTCACTTTCGTTTTCTTTTATATTTGTATAATTACCGATCGAGTTATAAATTCGTTTTCTTATTTTTAATAGCTCTTAAAAAATTTTTTGCCACGATTTTCGGGTCATTAGAAATGATGGATGCGATCGATGGTAATAAAAAAAAAAAAAAATTTATTTAATTAAATAAAAAATTTGGAATCGTTTCCGGTTATGACGTTGTCATTAAGTTTTTAAAAAAAAAACATTTTATTGACCTTTTGACCTTTTAATTAAATTTTTTTTGACATTAACGTCATTAATTTAATCCATTTGAAAAAAAATTATCTTTGTCGTTGCAACGAATCGAATAAACAATAAAAAATTCGACTTGTTGCTTTTTTAACTGTCGTTTTGTTGCAACAACAAAACGAAATTTGCCGTTTTCCTTTAATTACGTGTAAAAAATTTTTAATTTATGTTCTTTCAATTCTGCCAACTTTAGAAAAATAAATAAATCAATTCGAACTGAATTTTAATTAATACCTACTAACAACGATCGTAATAATAATAATAATAATAATAATAATAATAATAATAATAATAATAATAATAATAATAATAATAATAATAATAATAATAATAATAATTAATTTATATATAAAAAAAATTCGTTGGGTAATAAATTTTAGACAGAAAAAATACGAATGATGATAATGATAATAATAATAATGATGATGATTATTTACGTAATGTTAATAAATTAAATGTAACGTTAATAAATAAATAAATAAATTATTATTAAAGAGATTTTTTTTTGTAATGACACGAATCGTTTGTTATGTTTGTTACGTGTTGGTTTACATTCAACACGAACAACAAACAAACACCCAAAACAACCATTCGTTTAAAATCAAACAACAAACATCAAACATTGTCTTAAAATAAAAAAAACGATTTTAAAATATTTTTCGTTACGTAATAATACTAATAATAATAATATTAATAAATTTATCACATAAACTTCATTAATTAAGAGAGAGAGAGAGAGAGAGGGGGAGGAGGAGGAGGGAAGCATATTTAATAAATAAATAATGATTGAAAACAAAATGGCGGCGGAGATACTTTTTTAAATAACGTGGCATTTTTAATCGAATCTTATTATTTTATTTATTATAAATTATAATTTTTGTACTTTATCATTATTATCACCACAATAACGTCGAATATTTTTGTCGATAATAATAATAATGATGATGATGATGATGATGATGATGATGATGATGATGATGATGATGATGATTATGCCAAATGAAAAATTTATTTTATCATTTTACCCATATAAACGCGATTTATCGAATCGAATAAATAACAAACAAAAAAATTTTATTAATTAAACGAATTATTATTATTATTGTTATTATTATTATTATTATTATTATTATTATTATTATTATTATTATTATTATTATTATTATTATTATTATTATTATTATTATTAATAGATTTGATAATGCGTAAAAGCGAGTTTAATAAAAAAAAATCGACGAAAAAATTAAAAGGAAAAATCGTCCTTGCGACTCCATTTTTAAAAAAATATTTTTTTAAATAAGTTTTTTCCTTTTTTTCTTCTTTTCACCTTGTTTGTTACGTTTGTTTGTTTGTTTGTTTATTTATTTATTTTATTTAACATTTGTAAAATTTAAATAAATATTTTTTATAATTTACATTACAAACAATATGAAAAAAAAATTAATTTTTGGATTTTAGATTTGAGAAAAAAACGGAGGAAACGGAGGAAAATTTTTTTTTTCTTCTCCAGTGATAAAATTCCAAAAAAAAGGAAAAATAGAAAAAAAATTTCCTGGAAAATTTTTTGTTTTAATTACTTTAAAAAAAAAATAATCATTTCCGTCTTCCTACGAAAAAAATTAATTTTCGGATATTTTTTTTTTTCGGTAATAAAAATATTTCGCGTAGGTTTTATCCCTTCCAGTTTTTTTTATTTTTCTCCAGTAAAAAATTTTTTTTTTTTTTTTTTTTTTTTTTTAGGAAAGAACAAAAAATTCATCGAAGGAATTGAAATCATCAGTTCGTGTTTGATTTCATAACGGAAATGATTAATAATAAACGTAAATCTTATTTTCCGGTATAAATAATATTAATATAAAATTTTGATGATAACAACGTTAGTTATCAGTAATAATAATAATAATAATAATGGTTTTGTGTAATAACGTAATAATTAAAAATGACGTGCAAGAAGAAAATATTGTTATGTGGAAAGAAAACAACATAAAAGATGGTTTTGTTATTGTTGACGAAACGGAATTGACCAAATTAATTAAACGTGAACCAATCGATAAATATTATAAATTGGAACAAGAACCGTTTGCCAAGTAAGTATTATCATTATTATTATCTAATTAATTATAATTTCCGTTTGTTGCGAATTTTTAAAAAAGAATTTTTGACCGTTTGTTGTCTAGTTTGTGAGAATGCGATTCATTTTCATTTTTTTTTTTTTTTCAAGACGATTAGAAATATCACATCGTTGTCATCCCAGTAGTTGTTGTCGTTTGTTGTTTGTTGTAGGTTGTTTTTGTCGTTTCGAATTGTGACGGGTATTATAATCAAAAAAAAAAATTGAAAAAAATTTGATGATGAAAAAAAAACCGACGTAGGCGTCGACACGTTTACGACACTTTGAGTGACAAAATTTAACCGTGAGGGGGGGTGGGGAGAAAGGGAGGGGAGGTGAACAAACAAACAAACAAACAAACAAAAAATTTTTTTCTTATTGATTATTTTAATTAAAATTTCCAGCGAACGAAATTCGTACCGCATTTATCAAAACGGCAAAAAATTTTTTTTCTCCATCAAATTGATAAGACAAACATCATCATCGCAACGTGTCGTTTTTTATCAATATGAGTTCGTTGAACTTTTATCGAATACCCTCGCGCACATCATTTAATAAACAATTTTTTTTTGTTTACGTGAGTTTGAATAACAAACAAACAACAACAATTTCGAACAATGGTGTGCTCATCGTCGAGACTTTCAAAAAAAATTTTTTTTCCAGTAAAAAAAAAAAAATGACTCGAGGGCAAAAAATTAAGGCCTACACACAAACAATTTTTTTTTTTTTTAAATTTCAATACAACCGAGTAACTATCGTGATTCACCCACTTGAAAAAAAACTTAATAATAATAATAATAATAATGATGATGATGATGATGATAATAAATTTAATTTTTTTTATTTATTTTTGGTAGCGAGAAAACATCAAAAAAAATTTTAAATGTTTGTTTTCTTGCTTGTTTGTTTATTTGTTTATAAATATTTTATTAATTATTATTATTATTATTTAAAAATTTTTCAATGTTGGTAATCCAGGTCACGGACTCACGGATTATTCAAATGATTTCCTTGTTTTATTAATAATAATAATAATGAAAATATTTTGACGTTTATAAAAAAAAATAAAAATCGTTTATGAAAAAACAAAATGGCGGCAACCTGCTGTCAGTATAAGAAAAAAAAAAAATTAAAAAATGGTAGCATTTCTTATTCGAACGTGGTTGTTGTTGTTCGTTGTTTGTTGTTGCACAATCGTCATTATTACGAAAAAAAAAATATATTATTAATGTTAATTTATTTTAATATTTGAATAATTTATATCAGATTAAAACGTTTGTTTTTTAATTTATTACCGATAATAATGATAATGAAAAAAAAATGGGGAGACGGGGAGGAAGGGGGGAAGGGAGGAGAAGGAGGGAGATTTCGAAATGTTTGTTTTTTTTGAATTAACGGGAGAGATTATTCGATTTTAAAATAATCTAGAAAATATTTTTTTTTTTTTAATTATCGTGATATTTCCTTTACTCTCTCCCTCTCCCTCTCTCTCTCTCTCTCATTATTGATCGATTAAAAATGGCGACTGAGAAAAAAGAAAAAGAAAACGTAAATCTTGTGGCGCCTGTACGAGAGCCTGTTTTCAAGGCGTTTTTCCCTTTTATAGTTTCATCAAAGATTTTCTTTTCTTTTTCCGTAAATAAATCAGTTTGAAATTTCCTGCCACGTAGATTTTTTTAATTTTTTTTTTGAAATTTTCTTTCTTCTGACACGAAAAAAAAAAACCTAAAACGATAAAAATTATTATTTTATTATTAGTCGTAACAAAATTTAAAAAAAAAATTATCAAGGTGATTTTTGTCTTAAGCAAATTCTATATTTAAAAAAATATTATTTAAAATGCGACCTAACAAACGATTAAACAACCAATCAACAAACATAACAACCGTCCGACCGATCGGTCGACCACTTTCCAAAAACGGTTAAACTACAACAACATCGAGTAAAAAAAAAAAAACGTTTAAACCATCAAAAAAAAAAAAACAAAAAATTTATTTGACCGTGATTGGTCATTTATTTGGTATTAAAGAGATTGTGGTTGTTGTTGTTGTTTTTGTTTTTGTACAAAAAAGTATATATCGTTTGAATTTACCGAGAAAAAAAAAATTATTATTATCATTTTAAAAAAGTACAAAATTAAAAATTTAATTTTTTTCGATTGTTAATCGAGTACGGGTATTATAACAAACAGCAAAACAAACAACAAACAAATTTTTATTTTTATTTTCTTTTTAATTAAAAAATTCAAATTACGGAATCATTCACGCTTATTATCGATTGCGAAATTTATTGTTTCATCATTACGACATCACGTGTAATCAGAATATTTTTTTGTTTGTTATAACCACGTCGTTTTTAAACAACAAACAAACAAACAAATTAATAAATATTGATCCCCTTGTGTTTTGATTTTAAAAAAAAGAAAAAAAAATTCTCACTCTCTCAAATTTTTGTTCGAATACAAAGAAAAATTCTCCAGCGAGAGAGAGAGAGAGAGAAGGAAAAAGAGAGAGGAGGGGGAGGGGAGGGGAGGAGATGTCCATTTAACGCTTAAACGTCATTTTTCAAAATTGATAATGATATATGACCTTGTCAAATTAGCTGTCAAGGTATTTCGATCATTTTATCACTTGTCATTGTTAACAGGAAGCGCCTTTTAATACGCCTGGAAAATTTTTTTACGACTACTCGTTTTCCCAAAAAAAGGTTGAAAAAATTACAATAAAATCCCGGTGAAAAATTTTAACTTTTGTTTGTTGTTGTTGCGGTTGTTACGATTTCAGGTTGTTGATTAATCAAATCGATTACGGAATGAAAAATATTTTTGAAAATTAATTAATTAATCAAATAATTATAATTTTTAATTTATTTCTTTAACTAATAATTCGTAACACGCAACCACAACAACAACAACAACCAACAAACGACGACAAACAAATCCAAATAAATAATTTATTATTTGATTTTATTTAATTTAGCAATAATTTAAAATAATAAATTAAAATTTTTGTCGTCATTTGCGCAAAAAAAAATTATGTTTGTCGAGTTTGTGTTTGTTTTTCCAGTCGAGAAAATTTTTACTGGAAAATTTTTTTTTTTTTTGAAATTTAAATAAAACGCGAATTTGGTTATAATTTCCCCGAGCTACGTTTTTGCTTAAATTTTTAATTTTTCTGAACAAATAAATAGTTTTCATCAACCCACACGAGAATTATTTATTCTCAAATCGATTTAAAACCGAATTAAAAGAGAGAGAGAGAGACAAAGAGAGAGAAAGAGGGAGAGAGAGAGGATAAAAAAAATTCATTTAATATGCGAATTATTATTATTATTATCTTTTAATATAAAAAAAAATGAAATTTAAATAACAAAAAAAAAAAATTCTTTGTCCAAATATTAATAATAATAATAATAATAAATTTCGGCCGTGAAAACACACTCCAGGCTTATAATAATTATTATTATTATTAAATAAATTTATAATAAATCTTACCGAAATGCGGTGGGAAGATAATTTTACGATTATAATAAAAATAATAATAATAATAATAAATTCGCGAGTTGGAAGTAAAAAAAAAAAAAAATGAACAAAAAAATTCGCCATTTTCTTTTTTTTATCTCTCTTCAAAATTTTTTGAAAAATCGATCGAGAAAGAAAAATGGATCGATCGATCGATCAATTGTTATCATCCAGCCAGCACGCGTTATATTATCAATTGTGCTGGAACTTTACTGGAATTTAGAAAAATACGATCATTCATTTCATTCCTTCCCCCTCCACCCTCCTTCCTCCTCCCCACCCCCGCTCGATTTTTATGTTCAAACAAACAATTTAAAAACGACCACCTCGTTGTTTTATTATTATTATTATTATTATTTCACCTGCAACAATTGTTCGTTACGTATAAATGCTGGAGAATGAATGACTCACGTGTACCTGAACCTTATTTGAATTATTTTTTTTTGGGCCGATTTGACAGTTTGTAAATCACCATTCTATCAACTTCCTAGATTATACATTTTCTTTCTTTTTTAAAATAATGATAAAATACATCGGCTGAATTTTATTTTGTTTGTTTGTTTGTTTGTTGTTTGTTGCTTAGCCCTTTTAAAAAACGCGTATTAATTAAGAGATTTCACGCGTTCGATAAAATAATTAATGGCGAATAATTATTTAATAATTTTTTTTTTGTTTGACTCTCGAACGAGATTCGTTTCATTCCATGAATTATTTATCATTCCCGACTGACTTATAATAATGATGATGATGATGATAATAATAATTTTTTACGTTTGTTAATCGATGAGATTAAGAAAAAGATGGATTAATTCTAATCGGTTAATATCCGTCTGGTTATTTTGTGACGTTTAATAATGACGTAATTGATAGCTATTACGTAAGTTGTTTGTGAGTCTGGAATAAAGAGAGGAGAGCAGGGGGAGGGAAGGGGGGTAAGAAGAAAAAAAAAAATTTTTTTTTCTCCAAAAAGTTTGAAAGAATTTTTTTTTTGTTTTGTTTTGTTCCACGTGAATGTGATTTTCTCCAGTTTTGAATCAGACGTGGAATTAATGTAATTTTTCTTTTTTCTTTTCGAACAACAATCAATCAGAGGATTGTTTACATCGGTTAGAAGATGTAAATCATTGAAAACTGGAGAAAGTTATGCTGCGAAATTTACAAGCAGACAACGGTATGGAGAAGATTGCAGTACGGAAATTTATCACGAAATTGCTTTGTTATCACTTTGCGGATCCGCACCCAGAGTAATACAAATCCACGACGTTTTTGAAAATCCAAATGAAATTATTATTGTTATGGAATAGTAAGTTTTATGCTACAACCACGTTCGAAACCTTCTTTCATTCCTTTTCGATTTATTAATTTTTTTTTGTTTTTTTCCAGCGCTCCCGGAGGGGATCTACAAACGATAATAGATGAAGAATTAATACCGTTTGAATCCGATGTTGTTTCTTACATAAGACAAACAGCAGAAGGTTTAGATTATTTACACAGGAGAAAAATAGCACATTTGGATATTAAAGTAAACAAAAACATTTTTTTTTCTTTCTTATTCCACGTCTAGTCGTGACGTATTAATCACATTTAAAAAATTTTTTTTCTACATTTTTTTACACGTTTGTCAAAATCTATTTGTTTGTTTTTTTAAATCATCTGCTGCCACGACGGTTTACTTAAAGCAATAATCAAACCATTTGGATTCGATCATAATAATTCGATGTTTCGGATCGGTTCGAACAAACACACAACAACAAAAAAAATTTTTTTTGTTTGTGTTTGTTTGTTTTACGTAAAAATGTTTGTCCAATCGTTACAATTTAAATTATTTAACGTTTGTTTTTTTTTTTTTTTTTAAATTGCGATACGATTGATGTGACAAAAAAAAACAAGGTAAAATATGTTTGTTTGTTTGTATATCATAAAAAGCCGCACCTTTTAGACTTAAACTCTCGTTATAAACTTAGCCGTTGTAGGTGTTTGTTAGCTAAAGTCAAACCTACGGCATTTAGGCAGGGCTATGTCAAGGTGAGATAATACCTGATACCGAATTTGACATTTTAATTTTTTTTTTTTTTTTTTTTTGGACCTTTGTTTAACGGCAATGAATGGGTCACGAAAATAAAAAAAGAAGAAAAAGATTAACTAATTACTATTAAATTTGGGTGCGTGCGTGCGTGTGTGCGTACGTGCGTGCGTGCGTTGACAAAAAATTAAAAACCTCCACCTTGATTTTATACATTGAATTTTTTTTTTATGAATAAACGTTTCAAGGTTGATGATGAGACGACATTTAATTCTTTATAATACGTTCCACCGGAACGCATTCCAGAGCCATGTTTTTTCCTATTTTTCCAGAGCCATCAATGACCGAACGATTAAATTTTTTCCGTTCAAAAATATCGTCGTGGCATTAGTTATATTATCGATTGCTAACCCTTCCGTAAAAAAAAATTTTTTTTTGTCGTTTCAGCCTCAAAACATCGTCATGATGTCCGATTATCCAAATTGCGAAATAAAACTTTGCGATTTTGAAATTTCCAGAGTTATACTGGAAGGAAAAATAATAAGAGAACTTTTAGGAACTCCAGATTATGTGGGTGAGAAAAAACATTAAATATTTAATTAATTAATTAATTAGTGTTCCGTAATCCTCTTTTCCTAATTATAAACAATTTTTTTTTTTTGTTCCAGCTCCAGAAATTTTACATTACGATCCGATAACACTCGCTGCCGACATGTGGTAAGAATCAATAATAATAATAATAAAATTTTACCAAAAAAAAAAAATTTTTATTCTTAGCAGACGACAAAAAAAAATTTATAGTTATCCAGCGGCGGCGGCGGCGGCCGCGGTCGTCGTCGTCGGCTAAGAGGTCAACTTGTTGGACACATTTTGTTCCTTTGGGTCAATTTAAGTGGGTTCAATTTCCGCCAAGGCGATTAAGTCTAGACTTAGACACATTCCAGAACTTTTTTTTCTCTTCTTAAAGAAAACTATTTTAGCATAATTTGACCTCGTCATAACTACGACGTTTTTCATTTTTTTTTTTTTTTTGCGTTCTATTCGGATTAATTTAAAAAATTTTTCCAGGTCTTTGGGTGTTACAACATACGTTTTATTAACAGGTTATTCACCTTTCGGTGGTGAAACCGATCAGGAAACTTTTTGTAACATATCAAGAGGTGAATTAGATTTTCCAGATGATTTATTTAAAGATGTGTCAAACGATGCTGTTGATTTTATTAAAAAACTCATCGTTAAAAATCCAAAGTGAGTCATTCAAACCGATTATTATCATTATCATCATGAAACACAATTGTAATAATAAAAATAATAAAATTTTAGAGCGAGATTAACGGCGTCTGCATGCCTCAAACATCCCTGGTTAAATAATTCAACCGACAGAAACAAAATGAAGGAGTCAAAAAATACTTTGGTAAAGCCCGAAAGAGTCGTAACTCAAAACGATGACGTAGGATCGAACTTGGAGGAAGAAAAGAGAAAAGAAAATGAATACGTCGATGATGGAAACCGAGAAAATGATGATAATAAAAATAATAATAAAAAATTAAGAAAATATCTTTCGAAATCTCGTGAAGCTTTATTTGATAAAGTCGTACAAAAACATAACAACAACAGCACCAGCAGCAATTTTAAAAAATACACGTTTAAAAATCACAGATTTAGAAAGACGAGAATGTGCGAAAGTCAAATTTCACTCATATCAAAATCGCAAGAAAAATTATTGTTAACCGGTGGGGAAACATTAAATGCACCAAGTAGATCAATAGAAAAACTTTACGGTTTAAGAAGTTTATCGAAATCGCAAGAAGTGTTAAACTTATATAAAACCGGAGGATTGTTAACAAGTCAAGAAAATTTAAATTTGGTATCGGAAATAATCAAATCAAGAGAAAATTTGAACGTGGAAAGTCAAGAAGAAGATACGAAAGAGGCGGGAAAATATAGAAAATTAATGAGAGCGACGACTGCTGATTTGGGTGTCTTGCATTCAAAAACTCAACCCTCCAGAATGGATAGTTACTCGTCGACGACGTCACTCGCTTCTTTTTCAACCAATTTACCCGATGAAGATGACGATGACGACGAAGAAGATGATGATGATGATGACGTTATTGATTATAAAGAAAAATTTGAATCCTCTCCCGTTCCTACGTCATCACCAAAACGTGATCGACGTGATGACGTGACTTTTACTCACCCTAACAATCCTGTTATGAAAAAAATAGAAAAATTAGAAAAACAAAAAAAAATAAATGAAATGAAAGAAGAAGAAGAAGAAGATGAAGAACCGAGATTTACCGTTGCTCAATTAGTAACAGCATTTAACAAACACCAAGAAATTGTTACGAAAACATCTTTGGAAGTTACCATGTCAGCACAAGAAAAAAAAATGAAAATCCCAAATATATGTTTACCTTATGAAAGTCAATCTTCATTTCCGACCGGACCGAAAGCATTAAGACTTTTCATACCGGATATTGATTTAGTTTCCGTTCCGGAAAAATGTTTTCCAAACAAGTACAAAATGAAATTCACTAGCGGAAATGATAAAAAAAAATTACAGAGTCCAAAAAGTCCAGACGATTACGATATTTTAAGGTTATTTCCGGAATCACCACAATCGAATAAAAATTATTCGAATGCAGAAGATTTTTTCACATCGACAAATCATCAAAAAGAAAATAATAAAAAATATGGTCAAAAATTTATTGGCAGTTCCAACAATCAAGAGAAAATTTCAGCGTCGATTCCTCAAAGGAAAAACAACAGCAAACCGTCGAGTCCGATAATCGATAATAAAAACGAACCGTTATTTAAAATTTCTGATTCTCATTATAAATCTGATGACGTCATTAAAAAAAGAAGTCCGACGCCGAATCGTAAAATTGGAATTAATAGATCTTTCGAAAGGAGTCCTACGGTCACGAGAAAATCACTTACCGTTGAAAAAAGTCCATTGACGCAAAGGAAAACTACGATGCAAACGTCTACGAGACCTTTTTCTAATACAAAACAAGATGATTATTATCATTATCATAAAAAGGAAAATTCGTGTTCGTCGAATTATAAAATCGTAGGTATAGGTGAAAAAAATTCTACCAACAGAACAAATTCGAGCGTGAGTTATAAAATTGAATTTGACAGCCCTGTCGTAAAAAGGAAATTTCCAATTAAACCTAATCTTCTTGTCAAAGGAACGATAAGTTCTAATTTAAAAGTTAGAGAAACCGTTACAAGAGCAAGAAAATAATTTTACCTTTTGGTAAATTTTGTCTCCTAACGTCATCATTCTCATAAAGAAAAAAAAATTCAACGTTTATTATTATTATTATTGTTAAGATCCAGCGAAAATGAATTTTCCGCCATTAAACAACTGGAGAAAAAGGAAAAGAAATTTTTGCTTTGTTTTTTTTAACAAATTTTAAAATGTACATACGACTTTTTTTTTTTTTAATTCTTTGTATTCGTTTAATGTATAAATAAAAAAAATTCGAATAAATATTATTATTATTATTATAGTAAAATGTGACGTCATACATTTGAATCTTCCTTAAATCCCGCACCCAGCATCCCAACGCTCATGTCGATCATTTCCGTACGCATTTTTTTTTCTCTTCATTTTCCTTATACCTTGACGCGCACGTTATCGCAACATTTTCTTTTGATTTTATCCTGTTGGCAGACCTGTTTTCAACAAGGTGAAAACCACAAAAAAAAAATTCTATAACCGGAAGTAACCCTCCCCCCTAAAAAAAAAAACAAACGAAAGCAACCAAATTTTTTTTTTCCTTTTATTTAATTTATTTTTTAAAGTAATATTACATCATCATCATTAGCATCATCATCATCATCATCATTATCGTTTTTACACTAAAATAAAAATTATAAACCGATAATAATAATAATTATTGTTATAAATGCAGCGAACAACGTATTAAATGTTAAATTGTAATTAATTAATTTTTTTTTTAAATATAATAAATTATCATAATTATTATGGATTTTATTAATTTTTTTCCCTCTCTCTCTCTCTTTCTCTCTCTCTCTCTCTTGCACGCGCTCGCGTAAGAAAAAAAAGAAAGAAGGAAAATCAACTTTGAGGATTTCCAAGTTTAAATTTCATATCTTTATTTAATGGCGGAATGTAATTTCTGGGTATTAAAAATGTCGACAAATTAAACAAATCCAAAAACACTTTATAACGATCGCTTAGCGTTGATTTTAAGTATTGATAACCGGAAGAGCCTCCGGTTCCTAATTGAAGTGAACCAATCATTCTTTGAACCATTATCACGTGATTATCTGGAAAATTCAAAACAAAAAAATTTATTACTCTCGGAAGAAAAAGAAGGAAAAAGAGGACGAGGAGAAAGAGGTATCGTGTCGTCGATGGATTGATTGTGTCACGTTTGTACCTCACGATGACGATGACGACAAGATGGCAGCAGAAGAAGAAGAAAGAAGGAGGGGAGGGGGCGCGGTTGTAGGGAAAAATGGTGACTAAGAGTTAATCAAATAAAACCTTTGTACTGTAGCAAACTATAAACTCCTTAATATCAAATCTTCTTAACTTATAATATGGTAATAAATTATTATTTGATTATGTTTACCTTGAAATTATTTATCGACTTATGTGTTTTTTTTTTTATTGCAACAACAACAACAACAACAAACGACGACGACGACGGACGGCAAAAAAAAAATTGTTTTTATTATAAAAGAAAAAAACCTTTTATGGTAATAAAAAATCGAAGGAAAACGTCTATTTTTAAATTAAAATTAATTTTCCAGAATAAATAAAATATTTAATTCTCTGGATTTTATTAATAATAATAATAGTAAAAAAACAGGAAGTGGAAATAAAAACGTCGTGTCGTTCCGTTTTTTGTTTTGCAATTTTGCGACGAAATTTTTTTAATAATAAAAATTTAAATTTTTTCCACATTAAAAATGAGGAAATGAAGGAAAAAAAAAGAAAAATTTCATTGAAAAATTTTAAAATGCGCAATTTGTCCTCTCTCTCTCTCTCTTTATCTTTCTCATCTTTGTCTACCTATTTCTCTCTGTCTCTCTCTCTCTCTCTCATTCTCTCAATCTTATTCTCTTAACCTTCTGTCATTCTCATTCTCATACCACTCTCTACCTCTCTTTCTACATCTCTTTTACGCCTCTCTCTCTCTCTCTCTCAATCACTCATTTTTACTCTCTTATTCTTCCTGACATTCTCATTCTCACTCTCTCTCTTTTTCTCTCTCTACATCTCTTTTATGCCTCTCTCTCTCTTGTTCTCTCTTTATTTCATTGTCTCATTCTTATTCTCTCCCTCTTTCTCTTCTTTGTCTCCCTATCTATCTCTCTCTTTATCTCATTCTTATTTTGTCTCCTTTTCTCATTCTCTTATTCTCTCTCTCTCTCTTTCTAACATTCTTACTCTCTCTGCACTGCCTCCCTCTCTCCCTCTCTCTTTCTCTTTCTCTCTCTATCGTCATTTTTTCCATCTTTCTCATTATTTTTTGCGTTTAAACTCACAAATGATTTTTTCACATGCATAAACCCGATGAGAATTTGAATAAATTTAATTTTAAAGTCATCAACAACAAACAACAAACAACAACCAATCAAAAAAAAAAAAAACTCGTTCGAAAGATTCCAACCGAGTCGTGTTTTTATACAAAAAACAGGAATTTTCACAACATTAATAAGTTAATAATAATAATGATCAATAAATAAATTATTAAAATCTTTTTCCTCTTTATAAGTTAAAATTTTGCCATTTGCCACCACTATCTAATGCCACGTTAAAATTGAAAATTAATTTAATCGATAAATCGTTCGTCACTCGTTTGCCAATTAAAAAAAAAAAAGGAAAAGGGAAGGGAAAAAAGGTGACGTCGTCGACAACAACAACAACAACAAACTTACACCTCCATTTAGTTATTAGCGAATCGATATCCATAAGAAGTGTCAATAGAAGATGCGGTTGACTAAAACGTGGTTCATCTCTATAAAAAGTTATCATAATGGCTCCCTGTAATGCTTTATGTGAAAATCTTCTTTCTCCTTTTAAAACGAAAGCATCGTGGATTTGTTTATCGAAAACGGATGCAAACATTTCTTTTTTTCTTTCAACATCCGATTGACTCCTGTAATCATTTCAATACATCATCAACAACAACAAACAACAAACAACAACAAACTAAAATAAAAGCAAAAAAACAAAAACAAACCTTTTTTTTTCATCTTCGTTTGTTATTTTATCAGCTGCTTCTGATTGATTCATCAACATTCTATCGACGGCATCTTTATATTTTTTCCAAAAATTAAAACCTTCCGTTTCCAGTCCTGGAGTCCTTTCCAGCCAACTTTCTACTAATTTTCCAAGTGAAGGTTCAGTTTCTGATTTTTTTATCGCCGCCACAGCTTCCGGATCTCTATCGAATACTTTTGAATATCTTTGACTGTATCTCATCCTGTGATCCTATTAACGCATCGTATTATTATTATTATTATTATTACTTATAAAAAGGACGAAATTTTTTAATTCGTTATAAAATGATGACGTAAATTTTTACGTGTCACGTGACGAGTGGAAAAATTCAACGCACAAACTAATCGTCGCGTAAAAAAAATTAATGGAAATAAATTTTTTTTATTACTACGGTATCATCATCAACATCATTATAAATAATAATAATAATAATAATAATAATAATAATAATAATAATAATAATAATAATAATAATAATAATAATAATAATTGTTCAACTTTTTTGTTGTTGTGGTTGTTGTTAAATGTCAAAGAACCGTTTGTTTTTTCCTTCCTTTTTTTAATCCTTTTATTCGTTTCCATTGACGGTTTTTTTATTTTTTTATTTTAATTTTAAATAAACCGCGTAACGTGTATTTAATTTAACGACGTCATTAAATAAATTCTCTTTCTTTTTTTTTTTTAATTTTTCACGTAAGGTATAAAAAAAAATTTTTCTTCTGCCACTGACTGATTGACTGACGAATAAAAAATCGGGTTGGGAAAAAAAAAAAATTTTAATTTTATTTTTCATCACGTTTTTTTTCCCGCCATTTATTCGACTCATCGGGGGAAAAAAAAACGACTGTCAACACGACAGCAGCAACCACGACTGTTTCTTCTTTTATAAAATTTCATTTAAAAAATTTTCTAAATACACGATGTTTTAAAAAAACGCGTTAAATATTCTTTATCGTTCCTCCATCAAATTTTTTATTTTTTATTTTTATTAAAGTTCTACTTATTTATTTATTAATTTTAATATAACAAAAACCCGTAAATGCCCTCGTGTGATGTTGATGATGATGATAATGAAGATGATAATAATAATAATTAATTCAAAGATCGTGTTTGGCGAGAATAACTAAAAAAAAAAAAACTTCATTCGATTCCTCCTTAACTCTCGCTCTTTCATTCCGTTAAATATAAATAAACGACCTGAAAAATTATTATTATCATTATCATTATCATTATCATTATTATTATTATTACACAATGAAGCCGTGCCGAATGAAAGGCGCATGATTAAAGAATGAAAGAATAAATGATAAGTGGCAGAAGAAGACTAAGACGGCCAAAGTTTGATATCTAAAAAAAAAAAAAAGGACCGAAAATTGATAAGAAAAGTTTTATTGTTTATTATTATTATTATCCACCATTAAACACGACAAGGCTACTTGTCGGAGTTTTTAAGTATTTATCCGAGGTTTCTACCCGATTCCTTAGGGACAAATACTCGAATTTCGGTGGTGTCACTTATTATAAGATAGCACCACATCAATTCTTGAAGGTCTTCCTGAGTCCGTCTTTTTTCGATGGGAACGATTTGTCTCCTGAACTGGGCTCCGGTGACTAACATCTTTGGAGTGGCCAGGGTCAGAAGCAGTGAAATTCACGTTCTCGTCGAGCTGCCTCAGGTCGACAGTAGAACAAGATTTGTTTTTTGGTTCTTACTTTGTCTTGTTCTCATTTTTTTTTGCTCTTTTAAGCCAACAGCACGTGGCGTTCTCAAACGGTCACCCATCCAAGTTTGCACCACGCCCGATGCTGCTTAACTTCGGTGATCGTACGGGAACCGGTGTGACCAGCACGCTATGGCCGTTGGCTTATTATTATTATTATTATTATTATTATTATTATTATTATTATTATTATTATTATTAAAATCGAGTTTAATTAATAAAATTATAAATAAATGTATTTTCAGAAAAAAAAATTCAAAATGGCGTAAAACAAAAAAGTAGTTCAGATCAATTAAAATTTTATCATCATAATTTTAAGTAGGAAAAAAAAAATTTTTTTATTATGATAAAGTGAATGTCGTCTATCGAATGTTGGGCGTGGGTGATTTTGTAAAAAAAAATTTTTTTTACCTCGAAGGAATTTTTGGGGGGCCCCTCCCCTTATAAATGGCGATGACGGCGGCGGCGGCGACCTCACAATGTCGAAATATAAAAAATTGTAACGAAATTTTTTTTTTTTATTGTCATTCTCCTTTCACGTGAAAGTCTTTCGAAAAAAAAAATGATTACGATCGTTGTTACCGTTGGAAAAATAAAAAATAAAAAATTTAAATTTGTCGTGGCAGAAGAAAATTTACCGCGGCATAAATTCCCGCCTTTTTTAAAATCGAAAACGAAAAAAAATGCGTTTGAAACGTTTGATTCGACTTTAAGAAACGTTACGTTTTACCTTTTTTGTTTGTTTCTGTTGTTGTTTTATTATAAATAAAAATAAAAATAATAATAATAATAATAATAATAATAATAATAATAATAATAATAATAAGCCAACGGCCATAGCGTGCTGGTCACACCGGTTCCCGTACGATCACCGAAGTTAAGCAGCATCGGGCGTGGTGCAAACTTGGATGGGTGACCGTTTGAGAACGCCACGTGCTGTTGGCTGAAAAAGAGCAAAAAAATGAGAACAAGACAAAGTAAGAACCAAAAACAAAATCTTGTTCTACTGTCGACCTGAGGCAGCTCGACGAGAACGTGAATTTCACTGCTTCTGACCCTGGCCACTCCAAAGATGTTAGTCACCGGAGCCCAGTTCAGGAGACAAATCGTTCCCATCGAAAAAGACGGACTCAGGAAGACCTTCAAGAATTGATGTGGTGCTATCTTATAATAAGTGGCACCACCGAAATTCGAGTATTTGTCCCTAAGGAATCGGGTAGAAACCTCGGATAAATACTTAAAAACTCCGACAAGTAGCCTTGTCGTGTTTAATGGTGGATAATAATAATAATAGGGTGTTTGTCGATGTGTCGTCTGCTGTCGTAAAAAAACTTAAAAGGAAATTAAACACAGTAACGACGAACGAATTTTTTTTTTAGGTAGGAAAATAATAAAATTATTACGCTGTTGCCAGGGGGTCGTTTGTTTCGTTTGTTTCGTTAGTTTCTGTTTGTTTCTGTTTGTTAAGTCATTTTTTTTTTATCAAATGGAATTTTCTAGAATGAATTAAAACCCGTTAATTATGGGAAAAATATTATTAAATCTTTACTCACTAATTTAACTCCTAATTTATTCTCCAAAAGTCTAAATTGTAAACTTTGAAATCCGGATGCTGGAGATAAATAATCGCGAAATTCCATAAAATCCAGTGGCGTCATCGTTTCCAAAATCATAACCTGATCGACTAAAAGCTATAAAAAAAAAACAAAAAGGTTTGTTCGTTTGTTTGTTTGCCTCTTTTACAAAAGGTTTTAGAAATTGTTATTACGAAATTCGTGGACCTTGTTAAAAGTCATTTATTAAATATACGTCACTGATTGGAAAGGTCAAAACGGGGCCCACATACAAACAATTTATTAATAATAATAAGAGAAAAAAAAAAATTTTTCGCCATATTAATAAAGTCAAGGGGGCAATTTATTGTAAGAAATGATAACGAGAGAAAGAGAGAGAGAGAAGAAATAGATCATGGCTCGTTATTTGAAAAAGTAAAAGTTTTATTTATTATTCTGTTTTAAAGGACAAAGGACGAAAATTTCGTGATAAATGAATGAAAAATTTTTTGTGAGTTACTAGTAAAGAGAAAGAGAGAGAGAAAATGAGAGTAAAAGAGAAATAGATAAACGGCATACAAAATGAAAGAAAAGAAAGAAAAATAGACAGAAAGACAGGAAGTAAAAGCTAGGGGAAAGATGTAAAGAGAGAGAGACACAGTAAGAGTGAGAGAGACATGGTAAGAGAGAACAAGAGAGAAAGAATGAATGAGAGAGAGAGAGAATGAAGAGAAAATGAATGAGAGAGAGAGCAAAATTCGAGGAAAAAAGGAAAAAAGTTATAGAGAAGAACAGGATCAAATAAAAAGAGGCAAAGAGACAGAGAGAAAGAATGATTGACAGTGAAATAGAGGCAAACAGATAGGCACAGATAGCGAGAAAGAGGGACAGAAAAGCACACACACACAGAGAGAAGATAATTAGCCTTATAAAAAATTAAAAAAAAAGAACCAAATCCAAACGTGTACCTTCAATATGAGTACGATCCTGTTCAACCTTTTCAATATTTCCAAAGTTTTACCTTCGTCGACTGTTTCGGAAAATCCAAAAAGATTTCTAACGGAATCAACTTCCCAAATTATTTGTTTAAACCATAATTCGTATGCTGGAGAAGTAAAAAAAAAAAACATATCAAAATTAATATATATATCCTCCTTCTCCTCCTCCTTCTACTCCTCCTCTTATCAATCATACCTTGATGTGTTATTATAAACAAATGTTCATCGTGAACCGTTCGATTATGTTGTTCGCTTAATAGAGTTTGAGCGTTAAGAATTTTTTCCAATTGTAAATATTCTCCATAAAGCATTCCCGATTGTTCTCCTAAACATTCTCCATCCTGACCAGAATCTCTGGAAAGTAAAACAAATAACAACAATTAATATATACGTAATAACAATACTATATATTATAGCGCTATAAATAATTATCGTGACGTAAAAACGGCGTATTTAACGCATGTATGCAAACCTTTAAACAACAACTTATCGATAATATTTTTTACGTAATAAAATTTCAAAACTTATATTTATATTATTATTACTATTATTATTATTATTATTATATAATGTACATATATTTTTCTTTGAATATACAAATAAATAAATAAACCATAAAAATTATTATTATTATTATTATTGACTTTTCACCCTCCCCGATTTTTTTATTTATTTATTTTTCGTACATAAAAAATTTTTTTTTTTACGTAACGACTTTATTGCAAATACATTTATTTAATGAGTTTCCGCTATTACCATTCGAACGTTACGCCTCCCCCTCCCTCCCCTTTCGTCTCCGTCCCTTCCGCTCACCCACAGCCTCCGAAATTCTCCTCCCTCCCCCTCACATCCCCGAATAAAAAAAAAGAATGAAAAAATTTTCTCACGGATTCTTAGAATTTTCCGAACTCGTTTTTTTATTTTTTATTTAATAAATAAAAGTTAATAAAAATAATTTTTCGTTACATAATTTTGTAAATAAATAAATACATAAGTTAATAAATAAAAGGATATTAAATAAATAAATAAATAAAACGCGGAAGAAATAAAAACAAATAAAAATAAAACCGGTAAATGGGGTCGTTCTCATCATCATCATCATCATCATCGTCGCCGTCGTTATCATTATTATCATTATAATGGTTTTTTATTTATTTTTTTCTTCCTAAAAACTTATTGATTATTTATTGATTTGCGGAAATTTAAATATACATAACATAGTGGCAAACAAACAAACAAACAAACAAACTAATAACATTTCGTTTAATTTATTATAATAATAATAATGACGACAACGAGATAATTAATATTATGTGGATATATATGTATATATGGTAACAGAATAACGTTTATATTAAATCGTTAATAATAATAATAATAAATTTCGATATCGTCTAACTGGAAATAAACTGGAGATTGATTGACTGGAAAATCGGGACGACGAGGACTCACAGTTAGTTTTGATTAACTAACTTAACCGTTACCATGCAAAAAAAATTTTTTATTTATTCGTTATAATTATTAACGTGGTTTTAGACACAAATTGACAAGTTGTTTTTTTTTTGTAATAAAATTAAATTTGTTATCACAACAAATTAATTTTGTGCCCTTAATTTTCTCTCTCTCTCTCTCTTTCTATCATTCATTTTCTCTCTTTCTCATTCACTCACTCATTCACTCTTTTACTTTTCTCTCTCTCTCTCTCTCTCTCTCTTCCTCTATTTCTCTCTCTTCCTCTATCTCTCTCTCTTTCTCTAACCCTCTTTCTCTGTCATCCTCCCTCTCTCTCTCTCTCTTTCTCTCACCCTCTTTCTCCGTCTTTCTCTCTCTCTCTCTCTCTCTCTCTCTCTCATTTTCTCACACCCTCTTTCTTTCATTTTTTTTCTCTTTCTCTCACTCACTCATTCACTCTTTTACTTTTCTCACTCTCTGTCTCTCTCATTTTCTTCCTTTCCTTATTCTCTCTCTCTCATTTTTTTCCTTATTCTCTCTCTCTCTCTTTCCTCTTCACTCACTCAGTCACTCATTCTCTCTCTCTCTCTCTCTTTACGCTTGCAGGTATGAATAAAACAAATTTTTGATTTTGTGACGCCTTTATCATTCATTAAAAAAATTAATTTTACTATCATTATTATTATAATAGCCGATTGTTTTTCTTTTTTTTCTTTTACCCCTGACGACTTCCGGTCGACGGTTGTCCTTTTTTTTTTTAACATTTGATATCAAAACGCTCACGCGCACACGCACTCAGGCACACATTCAAAAAGGTCAAAGTGATATTCAAGAACCCCCCACCCCGAGAGATAAAAAAAATTGCCAGCTTAAACGTTTATTAATAATGATAATAATAATAATAATAAATTTAATAATTTAGCCATTTTTACAATTGAAAATTAAATTGAAAATCGATCGAGAGATCGATCGATATATCGATTCGATTTATTTTTCTATAAATTGTATATTTAAAAAAAAAAAAATTATTTATTAAATATTATTTACCCGTTTTTATCATCCGTCGGATGTTTTTCCGACATTTTTTTTTCGGGTGAAAGCAATAACGACAACAACAACAAACGCGTACAAACAAACAAACAAACAAACAAACAGAAAAAAAATAAATAAATTTATGTAAATCAATATAAAAAAATGTTCACAAATAATAAAACGAAAATGATTTGAATTTTTGTTCACGAGTCGTAGATTTTACAACCGACCGTGTCAATTATATTCACTGACCTTTCTTCTTATCAGGGTTTTGATAACTTTTTTTTTAAATAAATTATTATTATTATTATTATTATTATAGCGCTATAAAATATATAGCAAACGAATTAAAAATTCACTCGTCGATTAACCGAAAGAAAAAAAAAATTAACGGAAAACCGTCGATGTTAATTTTACTTAATTATAGCAAAAGAAAAAAAATTTGAGTTTGTTAAAATATACCGTGATTTATAGCGCTATATAGCGAGTTATAGCGTGATTTATAGCGCTCTATAGCGCATTTTAAACCGAGTCAAAAAAACAAGAAATTTTAATCAGTTTGTAAATTTTCTTTTTTTTTATTATACAAAATTTTAAATTATTTTCCAAGTTGAATTTTTCTTCATTTATAGCGCTTTTTTATAGACTATAAAAACTAAAAATAAAGACGAAGTTTGGTTAACCCTGTTGACTATAATAAAAAATCCTTAGACCAAAAAAAATTTTTTTTTTTAAATGAAATTTGAACTTTATTGATTTATTATCTTAAAAAAGTTTATTTAACTAAAAATAAAAAACTTTCTAATTATTGATTTTTTTTTTTAAAGAAAATTTATAGCAGACGACAACAAACGACAATGACAAAAAAAAACAAACGGAATCAAAAAAAAATTATTATTATTATTTCTATAACTAATAATAATAATAATAATAACGAGGTAAAAATTTTCGACCTAAAAAAACTCGATAAAATTTATTATTATTACCTCGAAGGATTTCAAATAAATAAATAAAAAATTATTTTTCCTCGAGGCAACAACAACAACAACAACTACAACCACTACAACTACAAACGCAAACAAACATACACACGCATAAAAAAAAACGTTAAGAAAAAAAAAAAATTTTGAGATAATCAATGAGAATTTGTTCATTTAAAAAAAAAAGTAAAAAATCAGGTCTTATGATTAAAATTTGCATTAAAAAAATAAACTTCTTCATCTTTTTCAACTACCACGACTTTCTCCAAAGGCGGTTAATAATAATAATAATAATAATAATAATAAAACAGGTTTTTTTTTTAAAAAAAAAAAATTCTCAGGTCGTGTAACAGAAACCGATACACGGATTAAAAAAAAAAAACGAATCCAAGGTAAGTAGAAAAGGGGGAGGAGGAGGAGGAGGCCGAGAGAAAATAACCGAAATAAATTTCGACCGAATAAAAAAAAATCGATGTATCGATTAGTCGAACGATCGATCGATCGATCGATTAATCGAAGATTCAAAACGGGGAAAAAATTAAAATAAATAAATAAAAAAACTTTCTAATCGTTTAAAATTAGCGACGACGACGATGACGACGATGACGTCGTCGTCGATGACGTCATCGCAGTGGCAAAAATAAAGAAACGTTCAGGGGGGGGGGGCGACAGAAAAAAACAAAAAACAATTTTTAATATTTTTATTTATTTATATATATATATTTTATATTTATATTTTTCCAAATAATAATAATAATAATCATAAAAAAAAATTAATAATAATAATAAACGAAAAGCAAAATATTACAGAATCGAATAAACACACACAAAATAATAATAATAATAATAAAACTAAATTACAAAAAAATTAATTAATTAATAAATTATGGAATTTTTATTTTTTGTCTTTTTTTTTAATTCTTTCTTTGTCACAGTTCAGGTGTGGCGATCAAAGTCCAGATTTTCATTTTAAAAATAATAATAATAATAATAATGATGATGATGATAATAATAGTAAACTTAATGATTTAATTACAAAAATTTGCACTGAAAAAAAATTTTTTTTTTCTTTTTCCTCAATTACATTACATTAATAAAAATAATAATAATAATAATTACAACAACAATAACAAAAACAACAATATTTATGTATTTATGTACTTATGTATATATATATAAATATGTATAAAAAATTAAAGGAAAGAAAAAAAAAGAAAAAACAAAATGGCGGCTAATATCATCGTTATCATCAGCAGAACTGACTAAATAATTATTATTAAAAAAAAAAAGAAAATCAAAATGAAAAAAAAATTGACTAAAAAAATCAACTGGATAGTAATAATAATGATAATAATAATAATAATAATAATTAACGTTTTTTTTTTTTCGAATGACTAGAAAAGTCACAAAAATCTTCTGCTGAGAATTTTTTTTTTTTTCGGCCAAGCCTCTTTCTCTCACTCTTTCTATCCGTCAACGTATTTCCATCTCTCGCTCTTTCTCTTTCAATCTCATCTTTTAATAGATAAGAGCGAGACTGGGAAGTGGGAGGGGGAGGGGAGGAGGAAAAAAAGAGAAAAAAGAAGGAATGAAAAAAAATAAAAAAAAATTAAAAGTCCAAGGGAAGACATTTAAGGGTGAAAGAAAAAGAAGAAGAAGGGTCAAAGGTCGATTGCGAAAAAATTTTATTCATTTGTTTTTCTTTACACGACCATTTCCCCCCACCACCACCGCCGCCGCCGCCGCCACCATCTCGCTCCTCGCTCTCGTTATTAACGAATGACGTCACAGAAAAAACCGATCGATATACTTTTTTTTTCATATTCTTTTTCCCCAAGTAGGAAAAAGATCGAACGATGGAAAATTTTCTCCCCCCTTCCCTTCCTTTCTCCTTCGATTTTTCGCTTTTCCATACTTAGTTGTGAAGGAAAAATTAATAAATAAACCGATCGATCCATCGATCGATCGATCGATAATAATTTTCCTTCCGCGAAAAAAAAAAAAAAAAGTTTTCACTCATTCGCACGTCCGAAAAAAAAAATAAAAAAAAATAATCGTAGAGTAATAATTTTTTAATGATCGTTCGATATATCGAATAATCGATGATCGATCATTAACGACGTAATTTTCATTAAAAACTTGAACGCAGGCCACACACGCGGATTTTAAAAAAACGTCGTTCGACAATATTTAACATATTACAGCCACCTTTTTTTTATAAAAAAAAAATTTTTTTTTCTTTTTTCTTTTCTTTTCATCTTTTTTTTTTTTCCTTTTAAATAATAATAATAATAATATTTCACGTAATAAAACTTCCCGATCATCATCATCATCATTATTATCATCATCATGCGGGAATGAGTCTTTTTTTATCTTGCGTAACTTTCAGTTGAATCCGCGTGACGTAGAAAAGGAAGAAAATGAGGATTAAAAAGCAAACTTTTATGAGCCCCCCCCCCTCGGGTCGGCACTTTATTATGGGGCATTTAAATGACGTTCGCACCTCCTCCTCCTCCTCCCTTCCATTTCGTAATGATGATAATGATAATTCTAGTGATAATAATATTCACATATGTATATATTCATAATCGACACTAAAAATTAATGTGAAAGGAAAAAAAAAAAAAAAAAAAAAATTCGGGACCGATCGAATCGACCCGGAAACTGGCATATCACGATTTCTGGCATCGATTTTTTTTTTTAAGAAAAAAATTTTTTAGTACGAATCACGTAATTAATAAATTAAAATTACTTTTAAAATAATAATGATAATAACAACAACAACAACAACAACAACAATAATAATAATAATAATCAGTCGAAGCTAATCGTGTTTTAAGAAGAAAAAAAAACCGTGTAAAATCATCGTCATCGTCGTTGTCGTCGTCGTTGACGTCATCATCATTATTATTATTATCATCATCGATATCATCGCGTAATCGTAATCATCATTATTATTATTATCATTATCATCATCATCCTTTTTGATCTTGTAATTTTTTTATCCTACTTTGAACGGATTCGCATTTAACTTCGCTAAATTTTGTATATCTTCCGGCTTTGACTTCTCTAATGACGACCAAATTTCCGTTTCCTTCTTTCATCAATTGGACGCCATATTTTCTCGTGTCCGTGCATCCGACCGTTCCGAGATTTCCAATTTTATTTAATATCGGCGACGACATGTATATGGATTTACGGTTTAAACCCCCGCTGCAGTTTTTCTGATACCTGTGAGGAGACGTAGGACTCGTATTGTTTCCTCCCTCTCCGGCGACTCCTCCTCCCCCTCCACCGTTTCCTCCCGACGGTTTATCCAAATTAAACCGACTGAGAGCTCTTTCGAATGATCCCCGGCATTCTTTTATCCAAACTTTTCCGGCTTTCAATCCCGAGTCCCAAACGCTTTTGTACACGTAGTCGAGAGAATCGTCCGACGATATAAAACTCGAACAATCTCCGCTCGAATCGACGGACATTTCGCTCACCGTGTCCGACGTTATGGAACTCGTTTCCGAACTCGTACCGGAAATTGACGACATGGATGACTGACCCGAATTTACCGGTATTAATATGGTCGCGTTGTTGCCGATTTCGTCGTCTATGAATATTCTCTTGCATTTGTATATCGTTTTATCTATGCTCCTGTGGAAAATCGGGTGTATGGGCAGTGTTTGAGCCGACAGCGCTTTTTTCATCGTATTTTCAAAATATATCTTATGAGAGTCTTCGTTTTTTAAAAAAAAAGTTAAATTTTTATGTAGAGTTTGACTTTTTTGCGTTTCGTTTGGGTGGTAACGTTGTTGCTGTTGCTGTTGTTGCTGTTGTTGTTGTTGTTGCTTTTGTTCCCGATGTTTTTGCTCGCTTGGGGACGGGGGTTTAACCGCGCTCGTTACGTTTTCCTTAACGGCTTCTTCGACTTTCGAACTTTCAAATTTTTTTTTAATTACCTTTTCGTTTTGGCAACAATTCTTATTCTTTGGCACTGTTGTCGACGACTCGTCGTTATTCAAAAAATTTTTACTCCCCCCGTCATTGACGTTTTTTTTTCCCGTTTCCCGAAACGACGTTTGCCTTTTCTTCGTTAAACCGTTGACGAGGAGTTCGATCGACGACCTCCTGCTCAAATCTCTCATCGACGTTTGCCTACGATTTTCAAAAGGTTTTCCCTCCGATAACTTTCTCGTTTTTTCCCGTATTGAATTCAAATCGTCCAACGATTCGTTAAATGAATGCTTACGAGTTTTCTCTCCGGATTTCCCGACGTTTTTCTCTATGTTCGCTTTATTCGACGGATTTATCTCCGTTAATTTTCTCACGGGCTCGGGACTCGGAAATGATTTTCTCGTCACTTCCGGCGTTCTCTTGAGAAATCCGTGAACCATTAATTTATGAGCCGTTTCCGGAGTCCTTCGTACGCATTCGATAGTTTTCCTCGTCATTTCGGGTGTTCTACGAAAGCTCGATTGTCTTTTAACCGATCCGTCTATTATTTTCCTAGGTGATTCCGGAGTTCTTATAAGTACCTCTGTTCTAATATTCGTTGGAATAACAGTATTATTATTATCTATCGGACTTTCACATTGAGTCGGCATCATCACCGGCAATTCTTCACTTTGAAACCACGAATGCTCCAAACATTCCGTAGCGGTCAACCTCAAACTGTAAATATAAAAAAAAATGCGATTAATAAATAAATAAAATCGAACTCGTCAAATTTTTTTATTTTTTATTTTATGCAAACACGTTGGTTGTTGACGACAACAACAACAACACCTTAACGTTTCCGTGAGGAACAACAAACAACAAACAAACAAACAAACAAATTTCATTAATGATCACGTTTTAATGTGAATCAAAATTTCGAAATAAAAAAAAATCATGTCAAAATTGTATAAAAAAAAAAAAAATTTTCCTCGTTTCAAAATATTCTCTCTCTCTCTCTCTCTCTCTCTCTCTTACCAGTTCTACTGGATAGATACCGACTATCGATTAAAAATAATCATTACATAACTCTACTATTTCGTATTTACAAGTGAAACGTTTGCTCGGAAGATAATAATAATAATAATAAAATTTAATAAACCTAATTGAAAACGTGAGCAGAACTTAACCGAAAAAAAAAAAAAAAAAACTTTTTATTCCTATCTATACTTTTTAAATACCGACATTATCTAATTAAAATCAATGCAAACAAGCAAACAAACAAACAAACAAACAAACTACAAACAAACAACCGAAAACAAAAAAAAAAAAAAAAACTTTAAATTCAACGATAATTATTATTACGTTGATGATGATGATGATGATGATGACATTATAGGCGTACCTGAACTCGTTATGATAAAAATAAATAAAATAATATAAATAAGTTTTCGAGAGAGAGAGAGACAAAGAGAGAGGGGGAGAGAGAGAGAACAAATTTAAAAAATATATATATAAAAAAAGTAGGATGTTCACGCGCAAATAGGAAAACGGTATTAAAAGTCATTAATAAACAATATTGTGGTGCAATCGATTTTTTTTTTTTTTTTTTCAACCGGTTCCGTTCTACTTATGTAATGAAAAAAAAAAAAAATTTATTATTATTATTATTTATAAATGGAGAAAAAAAAAAAAAATGGAAAGAAAAACAGGAAAAAAAAAAAAAAAAGTAGGTTAGTCGGTACTTGTAATAATTCATATACTTAAGACTCGAGAGTTTTGCCTCGGAAAAAATTAAAAAAAAAAATTCAATCATAATTTTATCGATAATATTATTATTATTATTTCGAAACGGGTACGTAATTCGGTGATTGTTCTCCCTTTCCCCTCCCTTCTCCTCCCTCCCCCACCAATTCCTTACTTCCCACCGTTCCCCGTTCTCCTGCTTCTTCTCCTCCCCAGCTCTGATTTTTTTTTTGTGACTAATTAGATAGGAAATTACAATTTTTTTTTTTCCTCCTTAAAAACTCAAAAAAGTTCTCACGGGTAATTTTCTTCCTTAATTAGTTTTTTGCACTCTCCCCTCCCCTCCCTCTCCTTTCCTTCATTCCTCACCAGGAGTAAAATCCTCTTCCCTCTGACCGGAAGTAGTTAAAAAAAAAAAAAAAGGAAAGAGACAACTCTAACACAAAGGAGAAAAACAAAAAGACTCGAGCGTCGTGAGAAAGAGAGAGAGTGTGAGAGAGATAGAAAATTAATTAATTAGTTAATTAATTACCTCGAATCTTTGACCATCAGCCTTCTCATTAAGTCTTTAGCATCTTCCGATATGTCTTCGAAAAGATCATCGGGAAAATCTAATTTGCATTGGGATATGTTGCAAAATGTTTCTTGCTTCGTGTCGCCTCCGAACGGTGAACACCCGGTCAGGAGAACGTAAAGCAAAACACCCACCGACCACATATCCGTTGCTAGACTTATTGCTTCGTAATTGAGAATTTCTGGAGCTGGAGAAGAAAAAAAAAAAAAACAAAAAAAAAAATTAGTATAAACATACGACGACAATAATAATAATAATAAACAAACAAATGGTCCATTTTGTTAACTACCACCACTACTACTACTACTCACCCACGTAATCGGGCGTCCCTAATATTTCTCTTATGTCTGCGCTTTGTCCAATGTACCTGGATATACCAAAATCGCATAATTTGACATCGCATCCGGGGAATTCGCTCGTGAGCACCAAATTTTGAGGCTGTTAATAAACAAATAAACAAATTTCAGCCATTTTTTTTTTTTAATGATGATAATAATAATAATAATAATTAAAAGTTTTTCTATTTACCTTTATGTCGAGATGTGCAACATTAACAGAATGTAAAAATTCCAATCCGTCTAATATTTGCCTCATGAATCTTTTGACAACTTTTTCTTCTGGGATTTCGTCATTGTCTAAAAGAGTTTGAAGTTCACCACCGGATGCCCTGAGAGCAAAGAAAAGAGAAAATTTATAAATACAAACAATACGAAAAAAAAAACATTCATTCGACTAATCAATCATTCCAATCTTTTATTCTATCGCGACTTTTTTCAATTTCGAAACAATGCGAAAAGAGCGAGAAACTTTTCGTATGTATGTGCAAGGGCGAGTGCAAGACACAATAGTTTTCCACCAATGGAATAAACACGAGAGAGAAAGAGAGAGAGAGAGAGATCAGGGCCGACGACTCAGCACACGCACGCACACATCATCCGTTCGTACTACGTCACGCTGTATCTCCAGCCTCCCTTTTTGTTTGTTTGTTCTCTTACTCATGAGTTTTCCTTTCCACGCGGCGGAAAAAGAAAACTGCCTGATTGTTTTACGGTATCATTATTATTATTATTTTTTTTTTTTTCGAACTGTGAATTGTTCGAGAAAGCAATTATATTTTGAAAAAAACTATCTTTTCGAATTGCTTTAAAAAATTATTTTTCAATTCATTTTGTTTGTAGATCATTAACCGATGAAATATTTACAAAGGAAACAACTCGAAACAATACAGAAAGAGAGAGAGAGAGAGAGAGAGAGAATAAAATTATGATGATTATGATTATGATGATGATGATGATGATGATGACTTAAAAAAAAAATGGTAACACGGTAAATAAACTGTCGCATATTAAATTCGTAAAACGTTCCTTTAAAAAAAAAAAAAAAAATGAATTAAACGAGAGAGTTCATATCAATTATCATTATTATCATTATCATTATTATTATTATTATTATTCGATTCCACAAACTTTAATGTATTCAATATCATGGAGATATATAACGACAAGAGACTTCATGAATAAAACAAAACAAAAATTATTAATTTTTTTTTTTCCCTCTTGTCTTACTCGCACACTTTGGAAAAAAATCGTGTGAATCATTCGAACGACAATCGTACCAACATAATAAACAATTTTTTTTTTTTTTTTTTTTTTTTTGTGAAAAACGATTACGATTGACAAAAAAAAAAAAAAAAAGAAAAACATTTGCACGGTACGTATATATCGCGCGTGACCTTTTACAACAATAATAACAATAATAATAAATTTTTCGGTAACCTCACACGCACACGCACACGCAAATCGCACGAGTAAAACTTATTATTAATAATAATAATAGATAAATAGTAAAAATAAATAGAAAGATATGCGATAGATAGATAGTTAGAAAAACGTCACAAAAAAAAAAATAAATAAATAAAATATTGGCGATAATCTTACATAACTTTCCATTTATTTTTTTAATAAAGTAAATTTTCTGCGCGTTTTTTTGGCTTTATTACGGCATAATACGTGAATCATCATCATTATTATTATTCCGGGCGAATATTTGCGAATATCATTATCGGTCGTAAGGCGCGCGCAAAAAAAAAAAAAAAAAAAAAAAAAAAAACGTTCGCACAATCCGAATCGAACTTATTACGTTGATAAATTCCCGATTGGTGGATTTACATATAACAAACGCACGAACTCACGCACGCACGCACGTAAAAACACTCCATCGCTCTCTCTCTCTCTCTCACACGCACACACGCACGCACTCACGTCCGTGTCATTTTTTTTTAAAACTTGGACAATTTGAAAACATGGACCGTTTAATAAATAATTATTATTATTACTATAAGTACTATTAAAAATTTCTTTTTTTCTTCTCTTTTTCTCTCTCTCCCCCCTCTTTCTCTTTTTTCACCGTTTAAAAAAAAAAAAAAAAAATAGTCGTGTGATTAACGGAAAAACCGGTAAAAAGCGAACGTGAGAGAATACCTTCAAACGTTTTTCGTACACATATTAACAAACCGGGGGGGGGGAACGCAATATATGCAAAGACATTGTACAAAAAAAAAAAAAAAAAAAAAAATACGAGATTTACTTGCCTACGGTTACAGTATTCATTGCATGACGATAATATTATTATTATTATTTTAACGGTATAATAATAATAATAAAACCAACTACCATCGAGTAGTGTAATAGAGAGGAGGAAGAGGGGGAGGAATCTTTTCCGACTATTGTTTGTTTTCTTTTAAAATATATCATGTAAGAAAACATTCAAATGACAAAAAGAAAACATTTTCTTTTTTCTCTTTGTCATTATTATTATTATTATTATTATTATTATTATTATTATTATTATTATTATTATTATTATTATTATTATTATCATCATTATCATTATTATTTTTTTTTATTGACGAAACCGTTTTCCCTCACATTATGCAAAGTCAAATTTCCCTTGATCGCGTGCGCGTGTGTGTGCGTGGGTACCTCAAAAATCATTTCGCGGTCGCGTACCCATCTCCCCTTCCCTCCCCCCCTCCTACCTACTTCCCTGACACGGTTTTCATATTCGACTCAGGGTGAGTTTTAATGGAAACAACAACACAATTAAATATACATACACGCTCGCACACACACACACACACACACATACACAAAGAGGCCATGACAAATCATCAACGATCTTATTTATTGAAAACCGTGTCAATAACACAGCAATGCAAATGAATGAAATAATAATAATAATAATAATAGTAATAATAATAATAATAATAATAATGAGACGATTAATCGTCGATTTATTCAATTTCGAATCCCTTTGAAAAATTGAAAAGAAAAATTATAAAATAATAATAATAATAATCAAACGTGTCATTAGCGGTGCCAAATCGTTACGAACAAAAAAAAAAAAAAAAATCCTCGACAATAAATTCGGGGATATCGAAACAATACAACAATAATATTATGTATAAAAAAAAAAAAAATTTAAAAATGGCGAAATGACTATTTAAATTGATTAAACGGTTTAAATAATTTTCTCTCTCTCTCTCTCTCTTATTAAAATTTATTCATCGATCGATATATCGGTGGTGATTTCATTTTCTTTCTTTCTTTCTTTCTTTTCGAACAAACGGTGAGGGTGGGGGGTATGTAAGGGGGGAGATATGTGAGATATACGACCGAAAAGATTAAATTTTTTGTTTTCTGAACACTTGCGCTGTTGTTGTGTGACTAATTGCATTACTAATTGTAAATCGTTCGACTCGAGGGCACCTCCTCCACCTGCGGTTTACTACTTTTTATTATTATTATTATTATTATTATTATTATTATTATTCACGAAATGATGTATTCAAATATGCATGCAGACGTTGGAGGAAAAAGCACGATCGCGTTTTTTTTTTAATTTCAAAGAGAGAGAGAGAGAAAAAACGGTAAATTTTTTACATTTTAAATTTTCCATTTTTTTTTTTGTGATTCTTTTTTGTGTTCTTCCGACATCTTCGTTCGTTCATCGAGCAAATCATTCGAGTGTTTTAAAACTCCTGTTAGTACCTGACCCGAATCCCCTCATCGTCGAACCGCGAATAAAAATGAGAGGAGGAGTAGGAGGAGGAGGAGGAGGCGCGTAATATTTAATTAAATAAAAATCTTATTCATTCGGATAAATCTCGAATTAAATTAATAAAAATAATAATAATAATAATAATAATTGTAAGCGAAGAAATCAAGTAAACGCAGTCGACAAACGAGTCGACGACACACAACCGAATCGAGGGCAGTAACAACAAAACGGTTAAGGAAAAAATCATCATCATTATTATTATTCCTTTCTTTCTTTCGAAAAAGACCTCGAAAAAATTCTCATTATTTTCTCTATCTATCTATCTTTAGTAACAAAAGCTTTTAAACAATAATAATAATAATAATAATACCAAAGTGTAAACAAACAAACAAACAAACGAAACAAAAGTATGCTAATAATAATAATAATAACAACAACAACAAAAACAAAAACGATACAAAACGAAGCTTTTCCCTGACTAGAAGAAGGAAAAGACGATGAAGACGAAGAAAAAGAAAAGAGAGAATAAATAAATAAAGAAAAGAAAAAAAAAAAAAATTTTGTTTTTAAACTCACAATTCTAAAACGAGAATCATCTCGTTTGTTGTTTCGAAAACCTGTATCAGGTTCACAATTCGGGGACACTGAGCGCACGCGTGAAGAACGGCGACCTCGTGAAGTATCTCGTATCGCAAATCGGTCGATCTTCTTCTTTTCTTTAAATATTTTGCTGCATATTGAACTCCGGTTTTTCTATGCCTGCACCTTCTCACCGTAGCATATTTTCCTCTGAAACAAACAAACAAACAAACAATAAATAAATAAATAAACAAACGACGACAAACAAAAACTTCGTAAAAAGGAGAAACAGAGAAAAACAGCCGACGAATTCAAATCATTCTACAACAACAGAAAAAGGAAAGGTAGTAGGAGAGGAAACAGAAAAGTAACAAAAGAATAAAAGAAGAAGAAGAAGGAGGAAAAAACCGTGATAAAACTTTCAAGGTACGCTGTGTGCTCTGCTCCGAACGACTGAGGTACGGAGAATATCGTGAGCAAACCTAAAACAATTAAAATTCACCGTAAAATGAGTCTGAAAAAAAAAAAATGAAACGAAATAAAAATTCTTTTGTATTTTTTTTTCTTTTTCTTTCTTATGCTTTGAAAATTTGTTACGCCAATGTGAATTTTTCTCTCTCTCTCTCTCTTACTCTCTTTCTCTTTCTCTCTCTTTCCATAGAACACAACAACCGAGGTTGCCCCCGATGTATTTATAGACATACCGTTTATGATCATTATTATTACGATTATGATAATGATGCTGATGCTGATGATAACGTTATGAAAAAAAGAGTAATTCAAGAAGAAGAAGGAAGGTGGAGGAGTAGTAGGAGGAGGAGGAGGAAGAATGCCAGAATGTACAAAAAAATTTTCGTGTAAACAGAATAAAAAAAAAAAAAAAAAATTATTTGACATGCTAATTTAGGTCTCGGAAAATGCGCGTACAGGTAAACAAATGAACAACAAAACAAAGAAATTCTTGAATGCTTGATAACGAACAAAATAATAATAATAACAACTACAAACTCGGCATGGTTTGTTATTATTATTATTATTATTGCGTTTTTGTTTTTATCATCGCAATATAACGTTCACTCTGATAATTGATAAGGAAAATAATAATAATAATAATAATCCTTTTTAGCGAAAGGCACGCTTTTACGTTTATTTTTTTTTTTTTACCAACGAACAAACAAACAACAAACAATCGAAACAAACGAAACAACGCACGCGTAATAATTTTAATATAAAAAAAAAAAAAAAAATCATGTGGAAATGTTTCGAGTCCGTGCGTGCGTGCGTGCGTGCGTGCGTGAGTGCGTACATATTCATTATTATTATTATTATTATTAATAACCAGATAAAAAATAAAAAAAATACATATAAATATATGTAAAAATTCAAAATGGCTGACGGGGGAAAAAAACAAAAACAAAACTCGACTAATTATTGATTTATCGATGACGAAATCCCAACGACTATGAAATTGTTTGTCTTCTGCTTAAATTTTTTTTCTCCCTTTTAATTCCGTTCCGTAAAAATGACAAATAATCGAATTTTTCGGCTAAGGAAACAACACGAGAGTGAAGGGAAACGACAAAAAAACAAAAAAAAACGTGGCAGCAGCAGTTTGAAAATTAAAATTTTTTTTTTTCCCGCCCTTTTAAAACAAAATTATTTATTTATTTATTTATTTTAAACGCCCTCTTTAATTACAAACCAAAAAAAAAAAAAAAAAAAAATTAAAACTCAAATTAATGAAAATGAAAAATAAAGAGAGACAGAAGGAGAAAAAGGGAGAGAAGGGGAGAGAGTGAGAGTGAGAGTGAGAGAGAGAGAGAAGGAAATAAACAATTTCGAATTCACAGCTTCTTCTCATAACTGTACTCATAATCATCTTAATGATTTTACAACTTAATTTTTATTTATTTATTTATTTATTTATCTTATTTTATTTTTTTAATTTTTTCTTGCTTTCCTTTTCGATTGCTCAATAAGAAATCAAGAAAGCGCCTCTTGCACTTTTAATTTTTTTTTTTTACTTTTACTTTCTTTTTTTTTTTTTCACAAACAAACACGCAGCAAATGTTTTTTATTAATAATAAAAATAATTCTCGGTTTTATTTTCTCTCTCTTAAAATTTCTACAATTTTTTTTATATTTTTTTCTACATATAATTCATTCGAATATTTTTAAATTTTGCCGACAGAGATCGCGTCAGTAAATTTTTTTCTAACGCGCGAAAAGGTTTTTTAAAAATTTTCCCTCTATTGCCACGACCGAAAACGTATATCCTACGTAATATTCAAACGACGCAAAAAATTATTTCGCAAAAAAAAAACGCGTAACAGAGAGAGAGAGAGAGAGAGAGAGAGAGAGAGAAATTATTCAACGCGTACTTGACCTTCAACCGCCGTTACAAACCGTTCGAATCGTTCCCACCTCCCCCCCCCCCAAAAAAAATTAACAAATAAAAGAAAAAACGCAAATCGACACAATTGTGTCGCCCACTTGGGATGTATATTTCTCTCGTAAGGAAAGTTTAACCTTAGTAAAAAAAAAATACACGGGCGCACGCAGTCACGCAGTCACGCACGCACGCACGAAATCACATTCATATAAGAAAAACGCGTGCGTTGACTAATTCGTTCGTACTTTGGATGCTTTTTTCTTTCTTTCTTTCTTTCTTTCTTTTGTTTGAACGATGATACGCATTTTTCTTTTTTTCTTTCTTTTTGGCGTAATTTGCATGAACGGGTAAAGATGGATGGATGGATGAATAGAGGATAGATGGAAACCTTGAGTCACTTTTTCAAGTTTTCTACCATTCATTAATTGATTGGTTAGCAAAGTAAAAATGAAAATGAATTATTTACCACCCACGCAAACGTTCTCAACGTTCATTATATACATGCGTATCTCTCGACCGCGACGACGGCGGTGGTGACCTTCGTAAAAAACCTATTGGACGCGATTTTCTTTTTTTTTGTTACATCTCGTCTTTTTTAAAAAAAAAAAAATGGAATGATGAGAAGTTTCGGTCGAATTCATTAACGAAAGTTTTGCGTAAAAAGAGCAGAAAAAAATGGCGGGAAATGAAAATTACGCGGCGGTTTAAAAATGCGAGGGAGGAGGGGAAGAGGGAGAGACGGAAGGGGAGGTGGAAAACAAACGATTTCAAATTTTTAAACCCACAGACAACCGCCATCCATTCATTGAATATTTCAAGGCTGGAATTGTTGCAAAACCGAGAGAGAGAGAGAGAGAGAGAGAGAGAGAGAGAGAGAAACAAAAACTTTTAGCAATAATGATAATAGACAGGTATATATACAAATTTAATTGTAGGTTTTTATTTTGCAAATGCGCAAAATTGAATGAATTGCGTTCGTACGACGAAATCAACAAACAAACAAACGAAACGAACGAACAACAACCACACGAATAACAATCGAAATTATAATTTTCTGACGGGGGGAGGGGGGGGGCTTTAATTTTTTTTTTCCCATGTTAAACATTTAAATTTTTTTCTTTTTTTTCCTCATCTCTCTCTTTCTCTTCCTCTCTCTCAGGTAAAGAGAAAATGATGAAATATTTTCTCTCTCTCTCTCTCTCTCTCTACAAACTTTCTGGAGACAATATTTGTGAAATGTGAGCGGCGGCGATCTCAAGAAGAAAGTTGTCCCTTGGGCGAATTTTTTTTTTTTTTCTCTTTCTCAATCTACGTAGAGAGACGTGTATGCGCGCAAATGAAAAAGAAATTCATGCTCGTGTGTTGTATGCGTGCGAGTGTGCGTTTGTGCGTGCGTGTGTCGGAGGCAATCGAAAACTTTTTCTTTCTACGTATTTATTTATTTCTCTCTCTCTCACGCACAATAAACTTTATTACTTTTTTTTTCTTTCTTTCTTTAGGTTTTGTGGGTGTGAAATTACGACTCTCCCGAAGAATTCAACGACGAAGACGACGACGACGACATTTTTAAACCGGATGTAAACGTTTGATTCCTTTTGACTACGACCACGGCGGAAAACGAATTCCCCCTCCCCCTTTTTTGACCAATATTTTGTATAAAAATTTTTCTTTTATTAATCACCCTAGCAGACGCCCTTAAACTTTTTTTTTAAAAACTTGTGGTCAAGGATTGCGTCGCGATATACCCACTCTCGCAAAATGTGTTAAAAAAATGTGAATTTGAAGCAATCAATTCCACGGCTATGGTTTTTTCTTTTTTTTTTTTGCACGTACCATTAATTATTTCAACTTCACCGTACACGTGGCAATAGACAGATACACATACTCTTAGCCAAGTTGTATGTGTTTCATGCTCAATTTTTAATTGTACATTTTCGTTAAGCGATTATTAAACATTTTCTCTCTCTCTCGCACTCTCGACCGATCTCGAAAAATTGTCTTTTTCTTCTTCTTACACGTTCAAAGTGTCATGAGTACACGTTACGACGCATTACATTTAAATTATCCAATAAATGAAAATAATAATTCTTCATTCATCTCGCCATTTTCTTTCTTTCTTTCTCTTACGGTATTTGTGCGAAACCGCAGACGTAAACGAGAGAATGATGCAAAAAAAGAAGAAATTTCACCGTGTCAAAAGAAACAAAACGAAACGAAAAATACCGACGCGACTATTAAAATCCTTTTAAATCAAAATTAAAAAAATTTTATAAAATAGATTTTGATTAAAAATTTATACAAAAAAAAAAAAAAACGAGTTATGTTGTTCATTATTCTCTACGAGCACATAATGGATTCTCATTCGAATCATTTTCGTATCTATTTAATTAATCACAATTTAAAACCGCGAGTCTTTTTTTTAATTGACTTCGTAATCATAATAATAATAATAATAATAAAATAAACTCGCACGAACAAGAAGAACAAAAAGAAAGAGAAAAAAAAAAAACGTTTTTTTTTTTTTAAGGCAACAAACAATGCGAAATAAAAATCAAAGGAAATAATCTCAATCGTATAGACAATAATAATAATAAAAAAAAATTGTCACTTTATAAATTTTTAACGCCTTTCTGGCGCCCAGGTATTAAATAAAAAAAAAACAACAACAACACGTACCTCCTCTCTTTCACATACCTGGGCAAAAAAAAAAAAAATGACACAATCGACAAAGTCAACACGACAAAAAATTCCTTTTTTTTCTCCCCTTCCCTTCCCCCTCCCCCACCACAACTCGTTCGCGTAAAGTCAAACGAAATTTTTTTTTCCTTTTTTTTTCTTGATACGATCGGTAAATAAGACAAATTATATTAACTAATACATTCGCGCAAATGAAAGTGAGAGAGAGAGAGAGAGCGAGGGTAAACGAGAGAGAATGAGAAAGAGAGAGAGAGAAAAGAAACAAACAAAAACAAACAACATTCTTTTCATATTTTAATACCTTATCGTTAGATAAATTCAGGTACTCTGTTACGAAATCTCAAATAAATAAAAAAAAACTGCGGAAATAGTACCTGATACACGCATAATACACGCACTTAAACACGCATTGCACGCGCAATCAATACACGCACGACAACATTCCATTTGTTTATCAATAACATTTAAAATTAATAGAAAAAGATTAGAAAGTGTATTGTAAAAAAAAAAAAGAAAAGTTAAATTAATATATATATAAATATTATCTTTCGATATGGTTTTACATTAACGCTCGCACGCACACGCACACGCACACACGCACACACATCAACGAATTGTATAAACTTTT